GGTGGAATATATGTGTTCAATTTTTTTTGCAGGTATCAAACTTAGAAAATTACTTTGATTTTGTTGTTGAGAATTGAATTTGAATCTATTCCTACAAAACACGTTATCTTAACCATGGAACCGTTATTTAATTTTTTGTAAAGAAATCCATATAATAGAAGTGAACTCTTCAAACGGATGAAGTATTATACAAACAGGTAGGTTACAAATTTTCAATATGTAAAAGAAAAAAAAAAAAGTATTTCTAATTGGTGTAGGCTCAAATCCAAAATCTCAAAATGACCATTGGCCACTGTTTTTTATCACCCTCAGGCCTCAACATATTATCGTAAAAATTTCCCTTGTATTTACATGATAACTAACATATTCTCCAACTATTCAGTTTTCTAAAGCCACTTGACAAACTGACAATAAATCAACTTTGTGGTATTGCATCATTCGTAGTGTGGATCAGACATTTTTTCAATCTATTTTTCCATCGAGTGCTGAAGAACTACTTTGCAAGAGACTTCTTTTAACTTTTAAGAATGTCTTATGAAAATTTAATTATTGTGTCTAGAAAAGCTAGAAAAAGTAACAAAAAAAGTTTTTCTACTAGTATAAAAATTGGTTCGCCTCATGTTTTTTTCCAAAGGCCTCGACCCCAAAATTAGATTTAGGCCACCGGCAAACGGGGAGCACTGAGCAGCCTTTGCCATAAGTTGACCTTCAACTTACAATGGCAGCTGATCCTAACGTTGACCCACATGGCTACATGGGAATCGCACCGAATGCAGACGGCTCAATTACCCGTCTAGCAGAAAAACCATCCACTCCGGCTTCATCTGACCCCGGCTCCGGCAACCCCTTCCATCTCTCCAAGGACATTCCGATTAACCAATCAAAGACACTTGGGCTCGAATTTTCTTGCCCCGTCAAGCATCCGATTCTTCCCCGCCCCAGAAACTGCCCCTCTTCATTTATTTTTATGGTGTAGGATTCGTTGTCGTCAGGGCCAACTCCTCTATCTTTGACGGTTTATACACCACCATTGCAGCTGGAATGCCGGCAGTTGTTGTCTCCGTCGGGCACCGGCGACAGCCGGAGCACCGTCTCCCGGCCGCCTACGATGACTCCGAGGAAGCCTTGCACTGGGTGAAATCTTGCAAGGACGAATGGCTGATAAAGTATGCCGATTTCTCCAAGTGTTTCCTGATGGGTACCAGCGCCGGCGGTAACATAGTATACCACGTGGGACTCCGCGCCGCCGAGTACGCCGACGATTTCTTGCCTCTTCAGATCAAAGGGTTCAAAAAACATCAAAGCCTCTTTCGGCGGGACCAAGAGGAGTGGATCGGAGTTGAGACTGGCCAATGATAAGGTTCTCCCGCTTTGTGTCAACGATCTTATGTGGAAATGGAGCCTGCCGGTCGGCGTTGACCGAGACCATGAATACTCCTATCCGGTTCTGAGTCTCAAAACGGGGCATTTTGATGCTGTCAAAGCATTGGGATGGAAGATTTTGATCACGGGTTGTGATGGTGACCCGTTGGTGGACCGCGAGATCGAGCTTGCGAAGAAGCTTGAAGAACACGGCGTGCCGGTGACCGGGAAATTTGACGAGGGAGGATTTCATGTATGTGATTCTTATGTTCCATCGAGAGCTGCGGTGTTGTCAAAGAATCTGAAAGAGCTCGTGGAATCTGCCGTGAGTTCTCAAAATGATAGCTGGTCCCTCTTAGGAATATTTCCTGTGGTTCCGTTCATGAATGAAGCTCAATTTGCTGGCTGCTTTATTTTACCAACTGGGTATATTTTGTCCGCGCTTATACAAATATGTAGTAATTGAAAATTTCATAAAAGTTGTGTTAAAAAAAAAAAGTATATGTGGATTAATTACATCAATCAATTTTTACATGTTTTTGTCTAGATATTTATTCATTTAAAGGAAGCTGGTAGGAATTTAATAACAGTATAGTGATTAAAATGTTGTGCTTTATGATCTGGGGTTCAATTCCTACTAAATAGTATGTAAGTTCTTATTCACATTTAAGTGGAATACACTCGAGTAAATTTTTAAAGAAAAAAAGTCCGAGAAATAGATTAAACTAAAAAAATACCATTTCTTTTAAATTTTTCCCCACAATACTCATAATGAAAATCGTTTAAAAAAATAAAAGGATTAAATCTCGCACAAATTTTTGCCCTAGTAATAATTTAATTTTACTAATAAATTCAAATTTTCAATGATAGTGGTTTTTTTCCTTTTTTTTTTCCCACACACTGTAAGGTGTCACCTTTGACAACAGTGACTCATCTCGTGCTGATAATAGGTATCTTAATGAGTGGACAACTGACCAAAAGATTTAAAATGATTGTATACTCATGGCATAATTCGAACCATCAACCTTTTGATTATGGATGGAGGAATCCTTAACTACTGTATTTAAAGATTTAACCATAGTGTTTTTAGTAGTAAATTTGTGCTTTGAATAGTTTTAAAATTTAACCAAGCGCTATATTTAGAAATTGTTCTCTTTTTTAGTGTTCTTAATTTGAAGTAAACATTTATTACAAAGAAAATAAATAAAAAAGAAATCTTAAACCAGGCAATCATTTTAGGACATAAGAAATACTAATAAATTAATAAAAAAACTAACAAATAAATTTCATAAATATAATATGTAAATATTTTTTTAAGTAACGTAAATGGCGTAGGCTTAATTCCGAAACACCCACTGTACACAAGGAAAAGTTACCCTACTATGATTATGTCTGGTTTATCATATGAGCCCTTATCAATGGTTATAAATCCTTTCTAGTATTATTTATCCTAAAAGGCCGAGAAAAAAAAAGGAGTGTAATGCACCGGCGAATCTTCGACTTAATCGGAGGAAATAATCGGAAAATATGGGACGGCAAGATTTGGGAACTGGGGTTTCTGGACACCCCGAAGGGAAAACGTAATTTCATTCTAATTCATCATCTTTTTTTCAAAATACTGTTTACACCCCATGGAGACTATATATATAGCCTTCCAAGTTTACGAAACTACAAATAGGACCCTATATTATAAAATTGAGGCAATAAAGTCCTCAACTCATGACAAACCCCCCTCTAAAAACAGTCGTGTCCTCAAGATTGTTAATAAAGAGTCACTACTTACATATCTACACAATATTACAACTAAACCAATTACTTCTACGGTACATAATTCTCTCTGCTAAAAGTGTCTCCTAGTTTCCTATCATACACTCCTAAGAGTATTCCTCGACTCAGTCATATTCCCATGTAGCACTTTGAAATCCTCAAACTCCTACTTGAAATCAACCTGGACTTCCATCGGCAGTAACTTGATATCGAAATTACAGCCCCTCAACGGATTAACATGATACAAGTATTATTAAAGTGATTTGAAGGCATCAGAGTGCCGAACTTTAACTTACAATCCCGAATGATTTAGCATATTGTTGAAGAAATTTTCTTTTTCAATTACAGCCGTGATGTAAATGTAAACTTGTATGTAACTCGTTTGAAATTCATTAGTCTATGGCACTAAAGGTTAAGTCTTTTATGGCAACATGTCCAGCAACTTGATGAGCTCTGCTCCATGATGGATACGTATCTTATGAATGTTCTTTTAACCATATTAATATTATCCTTAAATGCCAGTCGGGGCAATTATATCCACTAAAAAATGAAACTTAAATTTATTGTCATGTCAATTTAGAAGACTTAATTCTGTTGAACGTTAGTCCACTCAACTGTTACTGTCTATTCAATCTTTCCGTCTTCGCTCCGAGGAGAAGCACCGAAATCCTGTCTCCTCTTCGTCTTTAAAGTCTAACCCGCCGATAAAAGACAATTATATTTTGTTTGATTATTGGAATAAAAATGATACCAGGCTGTAAAGGATGTCAAACATGAGTAAACTCTTGTCTACCCTAATCAAAACATAATACTGTATTCGTTTTCAAAAGCTGCCTTAGAATCACCATTGTTGAATTTGCTGCATTAGTTTGACTTAGTCTTTTCTGATTACAATTTTATATATTCGATTCTAGAAAATACGTTTAGATGCAGTAGTTTTGATAATTCAGATTCTGTTGGAGTCGTCGTTTTTTGAGTCGCGCTCTTTGAAAATTGCATCTCTATATATATATATATATATATATATATATATATAGAGTATTCCAGTTCCACCAATTTTTACATAAATACACAAGCTTTTCCTTATCATTTCTTTTAATACTTTTAGGTCCTAGGTTTCCCCCCTACAGTCCAAAAAGACAATCTTTAATAACTAACTTCTAAGTCTTCGTCTTACTTTTTTGTTATATTTACATTTCTGGCCATCCGAGTTTGACATATCTGACCATTCACCACTGCGATTCATAGAGCCGACATTCTTCCTTCCTTCCTTCCATTCTTCTTGTTCTCCTTGTTTATCTTGCCGAACTCTGGTTGCAGAACCCTTTCGCCTTTTTTTTTTTTTTTTTTATGGATTTGCTGATAATTATAGTAATAATTCTGGGATTACTCTGCTTTGGGGGTACTAGCCATGCAGCCTCCTGCAATCAGCTTGATCGCGACTCGCTGTTAACCTTTTCCAACAACATAACGAGCCAATCATCTCGGCTTGATTGGAATGTTTCAGTTGATTGTTGTAGCTGGGAGGGTGTTTCATGTGATATCAGGACTGGAAGAGTAATCAGCCTGAAGGTGCCATCAAGAGGGCTTGTTGGAAGCATATCTCGGTCCATTGCCAAACTCAGCCATCTTCGCGAACTTAATCTTACGGGCAATTCCCTCACAGGTACTCTTCCTGATGGTTTGTTTGCGTCCCTGAATCAGCTTTGGATCATTGATGTGAGCAACAACCGTCTTTCGGGTCAGTTACCAGCTATGGATAGCATTCCAGCGACAATTGAGTCACTGGATTTCTCCAGCAATGACCTCGATGGAACAATCAGTCCTGATTTTATTGGACAGGCTATGAACCTGGTAAGTTTCAATGTCAGCAACAACTTCTTTGAGGGCTTCATTCCTGGTTTCATATGCGGCATCTCCCGTTCCATCAGAGTCCTTGATTTCTCTTACAATCATTTTACCGGAACCATACCCCGAGAACTTCAAAATTGTACGAAGTTGGAGACACTACGAGCAGGTTTCAATGAACTTTCAGGACCTCTGCCCGAAGATATCTACAAGCTGTCCGCACTGCGAGAATTATCGTTTCCTGGAAACAAGCTCAACGGTTCACTTAGTAAGGAGATTGTCAATCTCAATAACCTTACGATTCTTGCCTTATATGGCAATGAATTGGAAGGAATAATCCCTGCAGGAATCGGAAAACTCTCAAATCTTGAACACCTACTCCTTCACAGTAACACATTCCATGGAATTCTGGCCCCTTCTCTGGCAAATTGTACAAAACTCACAGTAATGATGCTAAGGGACAACTTCCTCAGTGGTGAACTTTCCCATCTTAATTTCTCCAAATTCACCCAACTTCGCGTCCTTGACTTGGGCAATAATCTTTTCAATGGTCGCCTTCCATCAAACATTTTCGCTTGTAAGTCATTGATAGCTATTCGTGTAGCTGCTAATCAGCTAACTGGAGAGATCCCTCCCAACATTCAGGAACTGAAATCACTAGCTTTTCTTTCAGTTTCAAACAACTCCCTGACAAACATTGCTGGCGCAATCAAAATTCTGTCGGGCTGTAGACCTCTCAGCACACTGCTTCTCGGTAAGAATTTCTATAACGAATCATTGCCAGGTGATGACAGTTCCATTGATTCTCAAGGGTTTCGAAATCTCCAATTTCTTGCCATTGGTAGCTGCAACTTGAGTGGTCGAATTCCAAGTTGGCTGGCAAAGCTGAGAAAGCTAAAGGTCCTTGATTTGTCGTTTAATGACCTGACAGGCCCCATTCCGAGTTTCTTAGGTAGTTTACCGGACCTGTTTTTCTTGGCTCTGTCCCTGAACCGTCTCTCTGGAGAGTTTCCAGTCAAACTCACAGCAATGCCGCGACTGAGAAGCCAACAGGCCGTCAGTCAACCGTTGTTGGAGCTCCCGGTATTTCTCAGGCCTGACAATGCCTCCAACCACATGAATCAATTAACGACCCTTCCTCCTGCCATATTCCTGAGATCAAACAATCTAAGCGGGAACATCCCAACGGAGATTGGCGGATTGAAGTTTATACACGTCCTGGATCTCAGCGAGAACGGTTTTTCAGGGAGCATTCCGAACTCGATTTCTCAGCTCAGGAACCTGGAAAAATTGGACCTTTCAGAAAACCACCTGTCTGGTGAAATTCCAGCGTCCTTGGGAATCCTCCATTTTCTTTCTTTCTTCAATGTCTCGGAGAACAATCTTCAAGGCCCGATTCCTGATGGAGGTCAGTTTGATACTTTTCCAGCTGAGAGTTTCAAGGGGAATCCGGGATTGTGTGGAAAGATTCTGCAACGATCGTGCGCCGGCAAACCAGAAACATCCAAAATTTATTCACCATCTAGAAAAATACTCAACCATGAAATCATCTTTAGAGCCTATGTCGGAGTCTGTTTTGGTATTGGATTCACTATCTCTACATTGGCATTTCGGAAATATCAGATTGAAGGATCATTCCTGGAAACGTTCTTGATCAGAACGATGAAGATGTGTGCTCGTCTTTTCTAAATTGTGGAAGAGAGCGGACTGCTATAAATCATGGGAATCACTTCCAGAAGTGAATGGTGAAACCCTTAGACTAAAAGTTTGATTGTGTCTCAATTGTCGTCAACCTTGTTCGTTGTTGTTTCCTCTTCTTTTCTCTTTTTTCCCCCCCTTAATTTTTGTAAATATATTTAATAGCGTAATATCAATATCACTGTTGAAAATGACTGTGTATAAAACATAAAACAGTGAGATTGATCCTTTTGTGAGTTTAACGAGCACGAACTAGAGCTTGAGTATATTTAGCTAGATTGGTTAAACAGTTACTACCATATGAAATGAAATAAGAAAAAAAAAAAGAAAAAGAATGAGTTCAAATACAGTATGGCACTTATTAATTTGTTCAACCAACCAGAATATTAAAATCAGACGAAAAGCAAAGAAATATTTATTTAAAATCAACTTAGCACATTATAAGGATATACTACTGATTACATCATGTTCCAATTATACTAACTTACCCCTAACAATGGAGCATCAAGCCATTATAGTCCACCTACTAGTGAAATCATATAGTCTTTTTCAAAATTAATCTCTCAAAACACATGTTTAATTTCAACGTCTTTATTTCTCTTCAACATTTCACAGATTCTACACACTATCCCTATATTAAGACCAACCATTTCCTTGCCACTTAGTACCATAGTGATAATGCTCGTATTGTGAACTTCAGGAAGAGCATAAATATTTTTAGCCAATTGATTATCATTGTTGGCCATTCTTTCACCTTTTTTAGAGGGAGCCATTTGCCATTCTTACATGATCGATGATACAGTAACACTAGTGAAACAATTAATACGGACAATCGAAAATATATATCAACAGAAGAAATTAATACTAAAATAATTTTATATCAATTATTTTGTTAAATCTTTGTATTGGGACATCTTATAATACTTCTACCATTTAAAATATATGTCCTTGACGAAAAGATAAAGATTTTAAAATATATATTGTACTCCAAAATTGAAGTATCTTTTTCCAATTTCTCAGTTGATATGAACCCGACATTTAAAAAATAGTCGTAGTTAACATGAAATTGTATTGAAACTAAACAGCATAGGATCATTGAGCTGAGTTATAGAAAGATTAATTAGAAATAATTTTATTTATGTTTTTGGGTACAAAGATAGGCTAGTGCCTAATCAGCACATTTCTGAGACATGTTACCTCTATTACATTATGTTCTAATCATGAGACAACCCCGACCCGATGACGGATCTTCAAACCATTGTAAACTTCTCGGATCACGAAAAACTAACGATACTAAATAGTCTACAACAAAGTTGGTCTCGTGGTAAATATGCACCGCTGCTACTTCCCAATCTCGCTTTAAAAGCTCACGGATTCCATATACTATTCCAACATTGACTCCAAATTAAATATCTCATTTGAGCACTTAACCATTTTTATAATACTTTGATTATCCACTTCCGCCAAGATCTTTCGCCCACCGATCTCCTAGGCTAGAGTTATGGCTTGAAATAAATGCCATAACTTTGTTCCTGTTATAGAACATAATCCAATGCTCATAGTGAAACCTCCTAACCATCGCCCATAATTTATATTTTGATTAACTTATTTAATGGTTCCTTAATTTTTATTAAATTCCTAAAACAATGTACATATTAAAATGGATCCGGGGAATATATATTTTATATTTGAGATAAAATGACAGGAACAATGAAACTATCTACTAAAATCATATTAAAACATAAGACATGCACGAAAAGACAACAAACCCATTAATATAATTTACACTCTGAATGAATAAATTGATTTTGTTATTTTATACTCCATCTATCTCAATATAGACTACACATTGAATTTTCATATTTACACTAAAAATGATAAAAATTTTAAAAGTTAATATAGACCTTTTTTTTTGAGAAGGAAATATTTTCTTATTTCACTTGCCTAAATAATTTCACTTGTTAAACCATTTTCTTTCTCCAGGAAATTTGAAGCCAAGAGTACGATAATTGACCATAACCAAGGGGAACAAAGCGGAAAATTACGTGGATGAAATCAATAAAGACGGCAGTATATGATTTTTCAAGACTGTTTTAAATTTACTAAATGAGGACCTAATTTTAATTAATTCGTACCTCAAAAAAATAATGTTTATAAGTAAATACTAGTCTTTATTCGAACTAAATATTGAGTCCATAAAATGAAAATGTTCACTTAGTTGCTGACTGTCAAGTGGGATTTTCTAATCAATAAGGAAATTTGTAATTTTTTTTTAATCAATAGGAATTTTCTAATGAAAATGTTCACTTAGTTTCTAATTTTTTCTTCTCCTTTTTTTTCGTTTGATCAAGTCAACTATGTATGCCAACCGTGTCTGACTTAAAAAGGTTTATCCTCCATTAACCGGATACCAAGTTGGAGCTAGTGCACGAACAAATAATTGTGAATCTCAGTGTTATGAAAAAGAGCCATACCTGAATCCATTAGTTTAATTAAATGTAGTATATAGATTCTCTCTCAGAACATGTATTCTTCACTCATAAAATAAAAACTTTTGTGTCAAACACTCAGACTTAGTTGGGTTGACCTTGACTTTTCGTTTACGTAAAAGTGTGTAATTTCTTGTATAAGATCTTGTGATATGTCTTCCTTCATCTATAGATCTATAGATCGTGGTGAAATTGAAAGAAAGTCTTTTTTTAGTGTTTTTTTTTAATTGGATTTTTTGTAGTCAAAACACGTGTTTTGGAAGTAAAATTCATAATGTTGTTTTAATAATGGGAAAATAGGTCTTTTCATCCCAAAATTTGGGCCACACCATCCAAAACATCCCAAAATTTAAAAACATGCCATTTACATCCCAAACTTTTTAAAAACATGTTACATTAGGATATTCGTTAAATTTTTAACTCCAGTTAATTAATTAGTGGTGGTACTTTATTTTGTTTCTCCTCCCACAATTTTTTTAATCATTTAAAACGTTTCACTAACTCCCACCTTATAAGAAAATAGCTAAACCTAATTTGGTCTTCACATCATCCATTCTTCTCTTGCTTAGAAAAAGAAAAAAAAAATCCAAGATTCACCTTCTAGATTGATAACAATCATGAGAGGTTTTGTGTGTGTCCTAATTAGAAAGTAAGCCCTATTTCATTTATTTTTTTTAAATATGTAGCATCATTATAAAAATTGGTGTTGTAATTGATGCGCGGGCATGCAACTTTTTTGTTTGGCATGTACCAAATTTACTAAACACAAGTATGAAACTTTTTTGACTAAAAAAAATGGGGGAAAAGAAACTAAATAAAATATCACCGTTAATAACTTGAAAAAATTAACAAATGTCCTAATATTACATATTTTTGAAAAGTTTGGGATGAAAATTGCATGCTTTTAAACTTTGGGATGTTTTAGATGGTGTGGCTCTAACCTTGGGATGAAAAGACTCATTCTCCCTTTTAATAATATAATAATAATTACACTTCTCTTGCCCTAACAAATAGTGCACATCAAGTTTTAAAATTTGTACTAAAAATTATATAAATATAAAAATTTAATGTGAATTAGTATTTTTTTTAGCATATATACTTCCACTAGATTGCTCCTTGAATCAAGTTGGAAGTTTCTATGACCAATGGAAGAGTTGTTGGAAAGTCAAAATCATCGGTTGCATGCAACTTAGCTGCCAATTTACAAATGTTGCAATCTATGTTTTAAGAATCGGACCAGAAGGCGAACCGGCTATTAAGTGATTCACTGGTTTACTAGTTCAACCGGTTTAAATCGACTTTTAAAATCGGTAAAAACTGGCTATAAAAATTATTAAAAAAAGAATTAATTTTCAAAATTTCGGTTTAATCGATAGAAGAGTTGTTGGAAGGTCAAAATCATTGGTTGCATGCAACTTGGCTGCCAATTTACAGATGTTGCAATCTATGTTTTAAAAACCGAACCGAGAGGCGAACCGGCAACTTAAGTGGTTCACTGATTTACCGGTTCAACCGATTTAAATCGGATTTTAAAACCGATAAAAACCGACTATAAAAATTACTAAAAAAATAATTAATTTTCAAAATTTTAAAATTTCAGTTTCACCGGTACCGGTCAAACCGCTATTTGTCCGAATTTGACCGAGTTTGACCGATTTTTAAGTCTACCGATTATTAATCCAAACCAGACCGGAAAGGTCTCTGATTCCCGATCGAACTGATTCGACCGTCCGGTTTAGTGCGATTTCAAAACACAAGATGCAATGAGAGTCATTTCCAAGTACAACAAATTATTGATCAATGCATTTTGTTTGAGTGACAGTCCCAACGTAATTCACTCGCCAAAGTCTGTCATATATGAATTGCTGAATATAGAATTTCACAAAACTATAACTTTGCTTCATCGGTTTGTCCCCTTTACTATCTTGTTAATTTTAGAATATTATTAGAATTATAAAGAATACCGAACTTAATTTGGTTTCAATTTTTCCGAATTGGCAATCGTCGTCTCTCACGTCCATGATGGGATTCGCTGGGATTAAATAAGTGCAAGGTGTTGCCAAAAGTAAACGATTTGGTATCAAAACCCAAATGTATAATATTAGCTTGATGTTGATTTGTAATACTAAAGTCATACTTTACAGTATACATCCTAAGAATGTAACATGACAAGTAGACATCTTCAACACTAGTTGACATTTCTTTGTTTTTTGCAACTCTACACGGGCAATTTCTTTGCAATCTTTCATTATGTTTTTAGCATCATCATCGCTAATTCTACCTATCTTCCTGTATCCCACTAACCTATGATTGTTGAACCCTTTGGCCACCTTCATTAGGCTATGATGAAAATTGTATTAGTAATGGGACTTTTCTGCTTTGCAGCACTAACTTTCCATGGTTCCTCCTGCAATCGGCTAGAACAAGACTCATTCCTGTCATTCTCAAAGAACACGGCGACGGTATCATCTCAGCTTGAATGGAATGTTTCAGTTGACTGCTACTCCTGGGAGGGTGTTACCTGTGATGTTAAGACAGGAAGGGTAACCAGTCTAAGGCTGCCATCAAGAGGGCTTGTTGGAAGCTTATCCCCGTCCCTAGCTAACCTCATACATCTTCACGAACTTAATCTCAGTGGCAACCTGTTGGTTGGCAGTTTCCCTAATGGTTTTTTTGTGCCCCTCAATAAGCTGCAAGTAATTGATTTAAGCTACAACCGTCTGTCAGGGGAGTTAATTTCTACGGGTATGATTCTGGCTTCTATTCAGGTGGTGGATTTGAATTTCTCAAGCAGGCAAGTGAATTGATAAGTTTCAATATTATCCTGAACAGCTTTTATGGCTTAATACCTTGGTTCATATGTAGCATTTCCCCTGTCATCACAGTCCTTGAATTCTCTGACAATCGATTCAATGATTTAATCCCCTAAGATGTTCGAAGTTGTACCAAATCGGTGAGTTTGCGAGTAGGTTTCAATTCAATCTCAGGACCTCTACCCGAAGATGTTTACAAGCTGTCAAAATTGCAAGAATTATCTGTTCCTGGAAACAGACTCAATGGTTCACTTAGCTACAAGATTGCCAGTCTCAGTAACCTCAGGATTCTTTCCCTGTATGGTAATGAAATTGACTGGCGGAATCCCTCCAGAAATCGAAAAACTCTCCAACCTGGAACACCTGCTCCTTCGTGTAAAACAACTCAGTGATACTCTGCCCACTTCTATCACAAACTGTACAAAACTCAGTGTACTGATACTCAGGGTAAACACACTTACCGGTGATCTTTCCAGTTATAATTTTTCTAGGTTCACTCAACTTCGCACGATAGACTTTGGCAATAACTTGTTCACTGGTATCCTTCCAGCCACCCTTTTTGCTTGCAAGTCATTAATCACTGTTCGTTTATCTTCTAATGAGTTGACTGGAGAAATCGTACCCAACATTCAGGAATTAGAATCATTGTCATTTCTTTCAGTTTCCTACAACTCTCTGACAAATGTTGCTGCAGCTCTAAGAATTTTGTCACGTTGCAAAACAATTAGAACGGTGATTCTCGCAAAGAGTTTTAACAATGAACAATTTCCAGGTGATGAGAATGATAATTGGCTTGATTCTCAAGGATTTTAAAATCTCCAAGTTCTTTCGTTTAGGTGGTTGCCAATTCGGTGGCGGAATTCCACATTGGCTGACAAAACTGTCAAACCTAAAGGTCCTTGACTTATCATACAATAATCTGGCGGGCTTGATTCCAAGTTTCTTTGGTAGTCTACCTAACCTTTCTTACTTGGAATTGAGTATGAACAGTACTATCTGGAGAATTCCCAGTGGAACTCATGGAAATGCCAAGATTAGCTAGCCAAGAGGCCACAAATCAAATGGATCGAACTTATTTGGAGCTTCCAATCTTCATTCAACCCGACAATACCTCACACCTGCTATATGAGCAATTACTTAGCAGTCAGCATTCCTCCGGCATTATATTTGAGATCAAACAATCTCAGTGGAAACATCCCGCCTGAGATTGGCCGATTAAAGTTTATACATGTCATGGACCTCAGGGACAACAATTTCTCCGGGAGTATTCCAAACACTATTTCTTATCTCACAAACTTGGAAAGATTAGACCTTTCAAATAACCAGTTGACTGGTAGAATTCCAGCATCACTAGGAAATCTTCACTTTTTGTCTTTCTTCAGTGTAGCAAACAACAATCTTCAGGGCCTAATACCCTCCGGAGGCCAATTTGATACCTTCCCCAGTGCAAGTTTTGAGGGAAATCCGGGTTTATGTGGAGAGATTTTGCGACAATCCTGGTCAATCAGCAAACAAGAATCTTCAGTAACAGCAAATCATTTGGCTACTAGAAAAATCTTCCAGGAGAAAATTATTTTTTATTTGTATGTTGGCGTCTGTTTTGGAGTTGGATTTGCCATTTTTACATTGGCATTGTGGAAATTCTAGATAGAAAGAACATTCCTAGAGAACATTCTAATAAGATTGACGAAGATGCGTATTCGCCCTGTTTAAAGATTGTTGGAAAGAGAAGAGACTCATAAAACTTGAGAATAGACTTCAGGAAATTGTATCATTCGAGTAGATTAGCTTGTAATCGACCTTGTTTCTGTATTCTTCTTAGTTTTTCAATTACCAACATTGAAATGGGATCAAATCAGTTTAAATCAGAAATTCATGTAATTCATTGGTCGGAACTGAGCTAAAACTCGCCTTGCTCAACGTTTGAACTGATCATATCAAATATTCAGTCCTTGGGCTCACTCTCCCTGTTCCATAATTGAAGTTGTTTTACGACACATTTTTTAGGGAACCTGATATCCCGAACCCTGAAGACACAAGTTTACAACTAAAACAATCAATTGTACTAAGTGATGTGATCCTAACAAATATTCATCAGAGAACAATTATTTCATTTCTCAGGCCATCGTAATCTCTAATGAAAGTAGTTATGAGAATACTAACCCAGATTCAACAATTCATTTTATTATGGTCTGAGATTGAGATCAATTTGTGTTTCAAATTAGCTCTGGAAATCACCCTGAACTAGATATCCCCAATGGATTAACATGCTGCAGTGATATGAAGTTACCAGAGTGAATATATGAAACATGCATACATGAGTGATTTCAAACACTAAGAGTAATCCTCACTTGAAAAATGAGACAATCCTAAGCAAAAACGTACCACATTCAGAGTAAATCCTTTAAATATACTCATGTCAAAGTAGTAGACTGAATTCGTTTGAATGTTGGTCTACTTTTTCTTAGCAGCCTTTTCATCTTCGGTCTGATAAAACCCACAAAAATTCGATCTCCTCTTCATTAGTAGCAAAATTTGAACCAGCTGTTCTAGGATAATTCTGTGTGGTGTGATCATTGACAACAAAGGCATAAAAATGTAAAAAAAATTACACACTAGTAAGAAATTCAAACATAATTCAAGTCAACCCTAATATTTTTTGATAGTATTATATATATTTTTTGTTACTATTGCTCAACGGTCCCACTTGCTTATAGGAATTTTTGCTTTGGAGCTTTTTTTTTTTGTGGAAAACATCCATTCATTTTCAAAGAAATTTACAGGATAGAAGCTAAATAGAAAAGTATTTTGCACACAGTTAGTTGTTTAATTGCTTGACTGTTGACTGAATGACTAACACACAACAATAAGAAAAGTGTTCTGCACACAGTTATTTGTCTCATCTTCAACTTTCTTCTTTACATATATATATATATATATATATATATATATATATATTAGTTGTTCCATCTAATCTTCTTATATGCTACTTCAGCCTCATCATCAATTGTTATCATACAGAAACTTTTAGCCTGCGGCCATGGTTTCCTCCACCCAACCTTCTTCTCATCCTTCTTTGTTGTGTCGAACTAAGATTGCTGCAGAAGCCTTTCACCGCCTCCTTTATTTGATTGCTGCACCTGGGAAGGCATCACTTGTGATCTCAGTACTGGGAGGGTAAGTAGTCTAAAGTTGCCATTCAGAGGGCTTGATGGAAGCTTATCTCTTTCCATTGCTAACCTCAGCCACCTTCGATAACTAAATCTCAGTGGCAATTTGTTGACTGGCACTTTTCCTGATGGTTTTTTTATGCCCCTGACTCAGCTGCAAGTCATTGATTTGAGCTACAACAGTTTCTATGGGCAGTTACCATCTATTCCAGCCACAATTGAGTTGGTGGAGTTCTCAAGCAACAATTTTTATGGAACAATCGCATTTGAATCCCTCAGGGAGGCAATGAACTTGGTAAGTCTCAATTTCAGTAACAACAGCTTTCATGGATTGATTCCTTGGTTCATTTGTACCCTTTCCCCTTCCAATGGAGTCCTTGATTTCTCTAACAACCTCTTTAATGGCCCGATATCCCAAGATGTTAGACTTTGTACAGACCTGAAGGCTTTGCGAGCAGGTTTCAATTCACTCTTAGGACCTCTACCCCAAGATATCTACAAGCTATCAGCATTGCAAGAATTATCGATTCCTGGAAACAAGCTTAATGGTTCACTTAGCAATGAAATCGTCAATCTCAAAAACCTATCGATTCTTGCCCTATATGGCAATGAGCTTGCCGGAATAATACCTCCAGATATCAGACAACTCTCCAACCTAGAAATTCAGGGGTGATCTATCCCCTTCTCTCACAAATTGTACAAAACTCACAGTAATGACGCTAAGGGACAACTTACTGAGTGGTGATCTTTCCAATTTCAATTTCTCTAAATTCACTCACCTTCGCATTATTGACTTGGGCAATAATTTTTTCAATGGGGACCTTCCAGCTAACCTTTTTTATTGCAAGTCATTGAAAGCGATCCGTCTAGCTGCTAATCAGCTGACTGGAGAGATCCCTCCCAACATTCAGGGACTGAAATCACTTTCTTTTCTTTCAGTTTCCAACAACTCCTTGACAAACATTGGCGGTGCAATAAAAATTCTGTCACGTTGCAGAACTATCAGAACATTGATTCTGGCAGAGAATTTCTATAAAGAACCATTGCCAGGTGATGATGATGATAGTTTTCTTGATTCTCAAGGGTTTCAAAATCTCGAGTTTCTGGATTTAAGTGGCTGCCAGTTCGGTGGCCGAATTCCAAGTTGGTTGGGTAAGCTTCCGAAGCTAAAGGCTCTTGAATTATCATATAATGACCTGACCGACCCTATTCCTAGTTTCTTTATAAGTTTGCCAGACTTTTTTTACCTGGATTTATCTCTGAACCATATCTCTGGAGAATTTCCAGTGGAACTCACCAAAATGCCACGATGGGAAACCAATTGGCGTCGGATCAAGAGGATCAAACTTTCTTGGAGCTTCTAGAGTTTGTTAAGCCTGACAATATCTCCACCCTGCAATACATTCAATTATCTATACCTGCATTATTTCTAGGTTCTAACAACCTCAATGGAAGCATCCCACCCGAGATTGGCCGATTGAGATCTATATACTTGCTGAATCTCAGTCACAACTGGTTCTCAAGAGGCATTCCTAACACAATGTTTTATCTCATTAATTTGGAGGAATTAGACATTTCAGATAACCACTTAACTGGTGAAATTTCAACTTCAATCGAAAATCTCCAGTTTTTGGGTTTCTTCAGTGTAGCAAACAACAATCTTCAAGGCCCAATACCGCCGGGAGGTCAATTTGTAACTTTTTTCCAATGATAGCTTTGAGGGTAACCTAGGTCTATATTCATCAGATCTGCAATGACCTTCCACTGGTCAACCAGCAAATAAAAGGCCTTCAGCAAATCATATGGCTACCAGAAAAATCTCCAAGGACAAAATCATCTTTGAATTGTGTGTCGGAGTCTGTTTTGGTATTGGATTCGCGATTTCTACATTGGCATTACGGGAATTTCATATAGAAGGATCATTCATTGAGAAGATTCTTAAATTTGTTAAAAGTTAACCTGAGTTTGAACTCAAACAAGTGATCATACGAAATGAACTTCAATTTGTTAAAAGTTAACCTGAGTTAACCTGAGGCTGAAATAATCTCTAAAGCAAAAATAACAATCCCTGGTCCGATTAAAAAAAAAAAAGAAGAAGACATATTTGTTGCATTATTTTAGTCCAACAACCATGTTCCTACTGATGTCGCTTATCTTCACCAACAAATACAAAGCCTTTCCAATATCAAATTTCCACACCAAGTTCATTCTCTCAATTCATGTATTTTCTGATTGGAATTTTTATTCTGTTTCTGAAGGTTTTAATGAGTTTTTAAATGCTTTTCCATTCATACGACAACAGTGATTTTACATATAGTATGGTCATATACACTCATGTGAAACTAGTTGTGGGAAGACGGTCCAGGTTCCACCTTTCATTTGAGAATATGATATTAATCAAATTCGCCGTGGACTGTCATCAGCAGCAACATGGTTTGGAAAATGAAGCCAATAGACTGACTATTATTAGAGTGATTTGAAGCATCAGACTGATTTTAAACTGCCAAATTCCAGGCACGATGGAAGACTCTGGATATCATTAATCTATGACATACTTATACAAAATCTATAAACATATTTTATTTTTGTCAATTTGCTGAGCTTTGTTTCATGTATTTTTCTTTCCCCTCTATAACGTATCTTTTTTTTTTTGTGCTACTCTATAACGTATCTCTTGAATGTTCTTTACGCATGACAAATATAGTAGTAATATAAAAGTAGAAGACTGACTGAATTCGGTTGATACTTAATTCTTCCTGTCTTTTTCAATCATTTTCACCTTAGCTCCCTGAAAACTCACTGAAATGCTATCTATTCTTTTTTTAAACCAATCACATCGGATAGGCTGCTTGAAGACAATTCTATGTAGTTTCAAACTTTGTTATAGAGGCATAATTTATAGAGAGTGCACCAATAAGGTGTCCCTAAAAGTAAACTCTTCGGTTACCTAACCCGAAGATAATATTTGCTGAAATTTAATAGGTAGACTAATCAAGCATCTTAAATAACAAACTCCAAAAGTACACATCTTTAGCTTTGTTCTTTTGTTGTTCTGAAGTGTCACTTCTGCCAATCTGACAGATAAGAATCAAACATCATGATTCGTAGAGCTGCCATGCTCTCTTCCTCAAGTTCTTCTCATCCTCGTCCTTTATACCGCTGGATTAGTCTCATTAAACATTTTAGCCTCATTAACTTGGATATGCTGATTGTATTTTCTGCAATCATGGGATTTATCTGCTTCGCAGCCACCTGTCATGCCGTCTCCTGCAATCTGATCGATCGCGACTCATTGTTGTCCTTTTCCAATAACACAATGACTCGATCTTCTAGTCATCTTGAATGGAATGTTTCGGTTGATTGTTGCGTGTGGGAAGGTGTTACTTGTGATATCAGGACCGGAAGGGTAACTGGTCTAAAGCTACCATCAAGAGGACTTGTTGGAAGCATATCTCTGTATATTTCTAACCTCAGCCATCTTCTTGAACTTAATCTCACAGGCAATTCCCTCACAGGTACACTTCCAGATGGTTTATTCGTGTCCCTGAATCAGCTGCAGGTTATTGATCTGAGCAACAATCGTCTCTCGGGACAGTTACCATCTACGGATATGATTCCAGCGACACTAACGTCATTGGATTTCTCCAGCAATGACTTTGAAGGAACAATCCCAATTGAATTCCTGGAACGGGCGATGAACTTGGTAAGTTTCAACATCAACAACAACTTCTTCTACGGGTCGGTTCCTTGGTTCATGTGCAGCGTTTCCTCTTCCATCAGAGTCCTCGATTTCTCTTATAATCACTTCAGTGGCTCAATACCCCAAGAAGTTGGAAACTGTACAAGGTTGGAGATTTTAAGAGCGGGATTCAACTCACTCTCAGGACCTCTGCCCCAAGATATTTACAAATTGTCAACAATGCAAGAATTATCTTTTCCTGGAAATAAGCTCAATGGATCCCTCGGCAATGAAATTGCCAATCTCAATAACCTTACCATTCTTGCCTTATATGGAAACGAATTGTCCGGCGCAATCCCTCCTGATATCGGAAAACTCTCCAACCTGGTACACCTCTTCCTTCATACAAACAAACTCAATGGCGTTCTGCCCATTTCTCTCACAAATTGTACAAAACTCACCGAATTGATCCTCAGGAACAACTTACTTACTGGTGATATTTCCAATTTCAATTTCTCAAAACTTATTCAACTTTGCATGATTGACTTGGGTAATAACCTTTTTATTGGTAACCTTCCACCAACCCTTTTTAGCTGCAAGTCACTGATAGCGGTTCGCCTAGCTGTTAATCAGCTTACTGGGGATATCCCTCCCAACATTCAGGACCTGTATTCTCTTTCGTTTCTTTCAATTTCAAACAACTCCCTAACAAATTTTGCCGGTACAATTAGAATTCTATCGAATTGCAAAGCTCTCAGCACACTGCTTCTTGGAAAGAATTTCTACAATGAATTACTGCCAGATGTCTATAACGACAGTTTAATTGATTCCCGAGGGTTTCAAAATCTCCAAGTTCTTGGTTTGGGCAATTGCCATTTTAGTGGACCAATTCCAGGATGGCTAGCAAAGCTGCAAAAGCTAAAGGCCCTTGACTTATCATATAATTACCTGACAGGATCCATTCCGAGTTTCTTTGGAAGTTTGCCAGACCTTTTCTTCTTAGATTTGTCACAGAACCGTCTATCCGGAAAGTTTCCAGTAGAGCTAACCACAATGCCGCGATTGGCAAGCAACCAGGCCACAAATCAAGCATATCAACCTTTTCTAGAGCTTCCAGTGTTTATTAAGATTGACAATTCCACCAACCAAGTCAACCAACTATCCAGCCTTCCCCCTGCTATATATCTGAGATCAAATAACCTCAGTGGAAACATCCCAATGGAGATTGGCAAATTAAAATTTATTCATGTCCTGGATTTGAGTGATAATTATTTTTCTGGCAGCATTCCTAATACAATCTCTTCTCTTGTTAACTTGGAAAAACTGGACCTTTCAAAAAACCACCTGTCTGGTGAAATTCCAGAATCAGTGGGAAACTTACACTTCCTTTCTTTCTTCAATGTCTCCGAGAACAACCTGCAAGGCCCAATACCAACAGGAGGTCAGTTTGATACTTTCCCTGCTGAGAGTTATCAGGGGAATCCGGGATTGTGCGGAAATATTCTTCAACGATCTTGCAGGGGCAAACCAGAAACTTCCAAAAATCATCCAGCTTCCAGAAAAATCCCCAAGCATGAAATCATCTTCAGACTCTACATTGGTGTCTGTTTTTGTATTGGGTTCACTATTTCCACATTGGCGTTATGGAAATACCAGATCCAAGGATCATTCCTGGAAACCATTCTGGAGAGATCAACAAAGATGCGTATCCGTCCTTTCTACTAGAGACTAATGTACTATGGTGAAGGGAGATCAACAGTGTTTGTTTTAGTTTTCAACTATCAACATTTAAAGTTTTGGAAGTACTAAAGTAAAAAAGCAGTGTAATGTAGTACTACTCCGTCCAAAACAAATAGTCCACATTGAGTCTTTTTATTTGTGCTAAACTAGTACAAATAAAAAAAAAACTCAATGTGGACTGTTTTTTTGAGACGGAGGGAGTAATGCATTTGACTTATTAGCTCAAAGTTGTCCTCCTTGTTTTCGACTAGATTATATTAAATCGTTACCCGATTCCAAAATAAGAAGAAAGAGGATGAGACGGTGAGAGCAGTTAATTATATAGGTTTCTTATTTGGAGACTTAAACACAGAATTTGTCCAATCAAAAACTGAGTAGAGCGTGGAGGAGATCTGCACCAGGGGATTATGCATTGCATTATGTTGAGTATAATTAATTTACAAAATACATTGTGAACTATTTTTAAAAACATAGAGAGTGCAACCTATATCAAATTTGAAATGTCCCGCCAATGTAGTAAACACGAAAAGAGTATGCATACAAGAGAATTTACTTTATTTTTTTCCTGAATCGAAAAGTGGCACGCTCCTTTATGATGTCTATTAACCTGGTTTCTCTCAGTTTGGATTAATTTATAATACACAAATTTAAACCAAACTATATTTGTTTGATCCATCCATCTTTTTATGAAAGACCAAGTTTAGACCTTTTCCAAATTAAGGACTAAAAGAAAAAAAATTAACAAAAAAAACCCGATGACCAGACTATTTTTTAAATGAATAATGATACGTATAGGGAAAAAACTTACTAAGAAAAATAACAAGAAATTAATCATAATCATTCATTTTTAACATTTTCTATTTGGAGTTTAACCATTTAAGGTTAAGGCATAATTTAGATGATTGGTAAATTTTTTCTTGTAAGTTTTCTTTGTAAATAATGATACATACCAACTACCCACCTGAATAATTTATTTTCCATCTCTTCAAGATTCAAGAGAAAGTAATCCTACTAGTACTTTTTACAAATATAAATACCAACTACTGATAGCAGTTCACATGTCCAGCCTGAGAATCCATTTTTCATCTCCTATTAGTACTTTTTCCCATGATAGCTAACTACTGATAGCAGTTCACATGTCCAGCCTGAGAATCCATTTTTCATCTCCTATTAGTACTTTTTCCCATGATAGCTTTGAGGGGAAATCCAGGTCTATATTCACCAGATCTGCAACGACCTTCCGTTGGTCAACCAGCAAATAAAAAGCCTTCAGCAAATCATATGGTTACCAGAAAAATCTCCAAAGACAAAATCATCTTTGAATTGTATGTCCGAGTCTGTTTCGGTATTGGATTTGTGATTTCTACGTTGGCATTACAGGAATTTCAAATAGAAGGATCATTCATTGAGAAGATTCTTATAAGACTGATAAGGACGCATATTCGTCCTATTTAGAGATTGTAGAGATGAGAAACCAACTCAAAAACACCTGGAAATGACCTCCAGCAAATTATGATCGTTGGAGTAGATTAAGTTGGAAAGTGTTCCTGTTTTCTTTTCTTTTTCTTTTTTATTCAATTACTGACGTTGATAAATTTATGAAATCAAAGCGTGAAAAACAGAAATCAGTGTAATTAATCAGAACTCTGCTCCTGCTTGAACTTAAATTTGTTAAAAGTTAATCTGAGTTTCAACTCAAACAAGTGATCATACGAAATGAACATAAATTTGTTAAAAGTTAACCTGAGTTAAACCTGAGTCTGAAATAATTTTTAAAGCAAAAATAACAATCCTGTCCAATATAAAAAAAAAAAAAGAAAGAAGACATGTTTGTTGCATTATTTTAGTCCAACAACCATGTTCCTACCGATATCGCTTATTTTCACCAACAAATACAAAGCCTTTCCAATATCAAATTTCCACACCAAGTTCAATCTCTCAATTCATGTATTTTCTGATTGGAATTTTCATTCTGTTTCTGAAGGTTTTAATGAGTTTTTAAATGCTTTTTCATTCATACGACAACAGTGATTTTACATATAGTATGATCATATACACTCATGTGAAACTAGTTGTGGGAAGACGGTCCAGGTTCCACCTTTCATTTGAGAATATGATATTAATCAAATTCGCCGTGGACTGTCGTCAGCAGCAACATGGTTTGGAAAATGAAGCCCCAATGGACTGACTATTATTAGAGTGATTTGAAGCATCAGACTGATTTTAAACTTCTTCCAAATTCCAGGCACGATGGAAGACTCTGGAAATCATTAATCTATGACATATTGATACGAAATCTATAAACACATTATGTTTGTCAATCTGCAGAGCTTTGCTTCATGTATAATTTATAGAGAGTGCACCAATAAGGTGTCCCTAAAAGTAAACTCTTCGGTTACCTAAACTGAAGATAATATTTGCCGAAATTTAATAGGTAGACTAATCAAGCATCTTAAATAACTCTTCGTTTGTAGCTCTTGATTGATCATGAATCAACTACTCCTCTCCTGAATTGCGTTGACTTTGTGGGTTCTTTGGATCTCTCTTGATTAATTAATTATCTCCAACATTTACAATATACTACTACTTCACCAGCATCTGCACCAAATTAGATGAAGCCATGCAGCCATTGGAGTTACTGTTTCTTATTCCCCATCCAAAATGATGTAATACATTTTAAAATGGAGTAATTGTGTGTTTATTTTCATTTTAGTCAATTTGTTTCTTTGTTTTTCTTTTTGCTTGGGAACAGGAGAATTGTTTACAGTGGTACATGATCTACATTGCTACCACACATATACATCACATAAGTAATGAAGGATTGTCCAATTTAAAACATGCAACAAAATTTAAATATTGGTAGAGATGGGAATTTAAATAGATCAACTATAAAAAAAAGTAATGAAGAATTGTGATTAGTTAAGAGCAACTGACTGCCAAAAAAAAAAAGAAAAAGAAGCAGCATATGTAACGGGTTGACATACATTGAAGTTTTAAAATAAAATAATCCTTGAGAAGTACCTTCATCATTCAGTATTATTATGAGAAATTTATTCTTTACTTTTTATCTAAATTATTTTCTACCATTGACAAATTACTTCATATCTAACGATAAATATATATATATATATATATATGTGTGTGTGTGTGTGTATATGTAGATTGTCCAATTCACATAAGTAATGAAGGATTGTCCAATTTTAGACATCCAACAAAATTTAAATATTGGTAGAGATGGGAATTTAAATAGATCACGTTTGGACTTTCAAAAAAAATAGAAGTAATGAAGGATTGTGATTTTTTTTTTAGGAGAACCAGGGCGGTACTTGGCGGCCATTTCCCCGATTTTATTGATTAAAAAGGAAAAATTACACATGCAGTGCTTAAGACTTACCCAATAGAAAAAGAGCCTGTCGTATAAAGATTTTACTAAAAATCCCATGACAGCTCTATTATCTATAGCTAAGATGATGACTTACAAAGATTTATCTATAATCCCATGGCATCTCTTTGTAACGTTTAGAAACTAAGAAAGTGTCTCATAAAGGTTAGAACATTAACCCCATGACACCTCTTTTTCTAAGGACTATTCTATTCGAGTACTATTCAATAGGCCTATCCATAAATAAAAAATTTTAGAATGTATTCTTAGATAGGGAAAAGAACATTTATCTAAGAACCATTTACCTCTTAAGGAGATTGGGAATTCATTACAACGATCATATTGTTTTGTATCTCCCAGTGAGGCCCTTTTTGCTTGATCATTCGCTATTGCATTTACTTCCCGAAATATATGAATGATTTTTGAATTTGAAGCGTTGAGTAATATGAAATTTGGTTGGGACCGCCATGGAAAGATTGTCTTTTCTTTGAAGAATGTTGGCAATCCCTTGATTATCAGTTTGAACAGTAACTCTTCGTAGTCTTCTTTCCATACATAATCTCAATCCATGAATTCCTTGTAGTTTAGCTTCAAAGCTGTGAGCTATTCCCATATATTTACCCTCTACACGCACTAGGATTCCCTTTTCACCTCTTAGCACAAAGCCCCATCCTACTGCCCCAGATTGTCCAACGGCTGATCCATCCGTATTTAGAATCAACTCTCCTTCCTTTGAAGGTTGCCATCTTAGGGCTATGATAGACTTCCGTGACACTGAAAGTACTGGTGCTCTGAACATTGCCTCTATCTCTTGTTTCTCTTCTTGCGATCTCACTTTCAACTTGTGAACACTCAATAAATTTGAAACAGGAGATACAACTGATTTAATTAAAATTCCTTAAGAGAAAATTGTACCTTCCTGTATAATTTTATTACAGCATTTCCAGATTTTCCATAGTAGGAAAATCGTTATAACCATAATAATTGTTTTCCTCGCCGTATGTAGCTTCCAATCACATGCCATGCTTGAAGATGGCTCCACCATCCTGCATTATTTGAAAAAGAAATACCTAAAAGAAAAGCAAAATGATTCCATACATGACTTACCTTAAAATAGCCATGAAATATATGATCCATATTTTCTTCATTTTCTTGACAGAAGGAACACCTTGATGGGCTCGAATGGAATCCCAATGTGTGAAGGATTTCTGGAAAAGGCAACAAACAATTAAATAGTTTCCACAAAAAAAAAAAAATTCAAAGGCAAAACTTTATTCCATAAATTTTTTAGACTAGGGATCTCCTCCTTTTTGCCCTAATTTCAGAATAAGTTGTTGAAATTGAAAAACTCCTTGTTGAACTTGGTTTCCATGCTTAGATAGTCCGGCTCCTCATTGAAAACCATATATTGTCATTGCTGATATGCTCATGAATGCTTGTGGATGCAAAAAGTCCTTCAATACCTGCAAGAAAAAATTTTTAGAAGCAAAAAATTCCCTCACCATTAAGTTCGGCCAGGGAGGGTTAGTATTTTTATTTCTCAAAAACCATGAATCCAGCCACTGGTTGTTTCAAAAAGAAGTGGACCCGTCATTAATGATCATCTTGCAATTTGCTAATGCCTTTTGATTTGCCTTAACAACTCATTGCCAACTTGTTCTTTCCTTAGCTAAATCCGACAGAGATGAAATAAACCTAGCCCAAACTCTTTTTTTGTTTGTATCTTCGACCAGAGTTTCATAGAGAAAGCCTCAATGGTATCCTCTAATTTCCGAAACCCTAGGCCATTTTCTACTGGAAAAGTGATCCTCTTCCAAGCCTTCCAATGACGTTTGCTCCCAAACTCATTCTCTCCCTATAGAAAGCATTGACATTTTCTTTCTAACTCATCCATTATTGATTTTGGAGGAGAAATTGCAACTTTTGTGTGGATTGGAATTGCCGATAGAACATGCCTTATTAGAACTATTCTTCCTCCCACCGAAAGCATTTTATTTTTCCAATTTCATAATTTCATCTCAAAGGAATCTAGGAGGTGTTGAAAATACTCAACCTTTTTCCTTCCTTTAAAAATATTGCATCCCAAGTATTTAAAAGGAATAGTACCTTGCGGCATTTGTAAAGTTTCATCCACCATTTGAATGTGATCCGCAGTACTCTTGTCGGAAACCAAGAAATTACTCTTGCTCTTGTTCATTTTTTGTCCCGTAGCCTCTTCATATTCTTTGAAAAAAGAGATCAACTACATTATTGAGTTTTTCAAACCCTTTGAGAAGATGATGAGATCATCAGCAAAGCTCAAATGAGACATAATTAAAGATCCTGCGGGAACTCCATATATACCTATTTTTCTAGCATCCACAAGATACTTCATATTTCGCGTTAGGGCTTCCGTCAGAAGTATGAAAAGATAAGTTGATAGAGGATCACATTGTTTAATCCCTCGAGATGCCTGAAAGAAACTTGCCGGACACCCATTCAAGAGGTACAAAAACCAGTTACCAGTGAAACAAAATGCGGATGAAAGCACGGGAGATATTTGTGTCTTATATATAAAAAGAACGGGAGATAGTAACATTCATACCATTTGTTTTCTTTGCAACGCAGTAAACAATACATATCTGGTGTGACAAAATGATTACGCTTCAAAGTTTCATAAGATAAAAAAGATCTTATAAAAATAATCTATGTTGTAAATAATGAGTTGTGTAGTTTTTAGTTATCTTTTGTGCCAAAAAAAGTAGTTCTTATTAAGTGCTGATATTTGTACTATGATTTGAAAAATTTAGTGTGGACTATTAGTGCTTACGTGTACCTAGGTATTAGTGACGTGGTTTTTATCTTCACACAACATTTGCTTAAAACTATTGAAGTCTCAACTCGCAACTGTATATTCGATCGGCAACGACCGAATTAATAAATTTATGGTCTCTAAAGTGACATAAGCTAACAACTTGTTAATATTTGATAAAGATTAGCCGATTATAACATGCCAAGCATTTATAGCTCAAAAAAATCTTAATCCCCCCTGCAAACCATTTTCCATTCAAACTATTTCTTCAGCCATGGCCGGCAAAATTGCAAAATTTTCACCCATTGATCCCCAAGAAGATCCCTACGGCTATCTGGGCTTCACTCGGAACTCCGACGATGGCTCAATCAAACGCACTAATGTCGCTCTTCCAAAGACAACCGTATCTTCCTGCGACAACAATCCCGATCTCCAAGTCAAGGATGCCGTCATAAACCAAGACAAAAACACTTGGGCTCGTGTTTTCCTCCCCAAGAAGTCAATCCAATCCCAACCCAACTCCAAATTCCCTCTGTTGATCTTCTTCCACGGCGGCGGATTCGTAGTTTGCTCCGCCGCCACCCCTTTCTTCGACAGTTTTTACACCACCCTCGTCACTGATCTCCAAGTCGTGATCGTGTCTGTGGAATATCGTCTTGCTCCGGAACACAAGCTTCCGGCAGCCTACGATGATTCCGAAGAAGCTATCCAATGGATTACATCTTCCAAAGACGAATGGTTAGCCGAATATGCTGATTTATCAAACAGTTTCCTCATGGGAAGCAGCGCCGGAGCGAATATCGCGTATCACGTCGGGTTAAGAGCCGGATCTCGCTCTAGTGGTGATCTAGAGGCATTGAAAATTAAAGGGTTGATTTTGCACCAACCATTTTTCGGTGGAATGAAGAGGACGGAATCAGAACTGAAAGGGATGGATGACAAGGTTTTGCCTCCGTGCATAACCGACATTATGTGGGAATTGGCCTTGCCGGAGGGCGTTGACCGGGATCACGAATTCTGCCACCCGGTAAAGAGCTTCAAACCGGGTCAATTTGACAAGATCAAGGATTTGGGGTGGAAGATTTTGGTGACTGGTTACCAAGGGGATCCGTTATATGATAGACAAATGGAGTTCGTGAAAACGTTGGAAGAGAGAGATTTGGCAATCGTAGCTAAATTTCAAGAAGGTGGTTTCCATGGTGCTGACACTTTTGATCTTCCTAGATTGAAGACTTTATCTCAGGGTGTTAAGGAGTTCATGGAATCTGTTTTTTGCAATTAAAGTCACCGTAGATATGTTTCTTTAGTTATCAAGTTTCATCTTTCTAATCCATTTTGGGTTTCATCCTTGTAACAATAAAAACTTTTAAGGAAATATATGAATTTTTTAAACTTATAATTTGATCAAAGTATAGTTTATTGAGCAAAAATCCAAAGAAGCGGCAAACCCCATCAGCAATGACATTAATAAAACGAAGTTTGATGGTGAAAGTTTATCTTATCGATGCCATTAGTTAAGATAATGGTTTTGCCGTCTTTGCTGATTCAATGCATTCGGTAGCTTGGAACAATGAGTTTATATATAAAATTAATCAAAAAAAAGAAAAATCATTTAAACTAAATTGTACGTACATGTGAATGTCTTGTCTTCATATGGATTGTCCATTAAAAGATCCTCAAGTTGGATGCTTAAATACTTATTCCTAAATTGAATGGCTAAATAGCTCTGTTCGGAGAGAAAGTCTGATTTGTAGTACGTATGTCATGATGTACTCATATCTCATACTACCATATGTTAATTTTATGTAAGATTTCTGTATAGGTAGACAATATTCTAGTGCTATTAAAATGATGGTAGCTAGGAAACGAAGAAATGGGTGGCATATATGGAGGTTCGATGAAGACCATCTGTGAGTTTGTGAAATTGAAACGTGTATAGTTGAATTTTTTGAAGGTATCAAGCTTATTTAATTACTTTGGTTTTATTAGTGGGAATGGATTTCAAATATATTAATTCCTTCAAAACATTCATCCTAACCATGACACTGTTATTTAGAGACAACAGATCCACAAAGAGAACTCTTCAAACGGATGAAGTATTATTATTACAGAATATATTTGGTAAATATGTCAGTCATTAATACGTAAATATTGTACTTAACTTAGTTAGGAATTTTGTAGTGGGAGATGATTGTTGCAACGCTCCTTGTATATTAAACCCTAATATCAAAAATATACGGCAGGAGATTGAGCCGCTTTCTTCCGATCTTTGGTTCATTTCAATTATACAAACAAGTATGCTACAAATTTACAATATTTTGTAAAAAATGAAATATTTCATATCAAAAAGCCAAAAAGAGAAAAGGTTAAACATAAAGCTGGTACTATTCATATCACGAACTATGGAATTTTTTTCTTTTGAAAAAGACGAACTATGGAATTATGTTATGCATCCAAACTATTTAACTTATTATTTTATATTTTTTTCTAAAATAATTTTCTTATTTAGATTTTCACTTTTAGTTTATCTATTCAATATATATTAAAGCAGAGTTCTTAATCGGCACGTATCGCCCAATGAGCAAGTTTAGCCAATTGTGTCGCGTGTCGTTATCAAAATTCTCATTCATTAAACAGTTAAAAGTATATTACTAATATGTAAAATTGTTAAATTGAATTAAGTAATTAACTAATAGTTAATTTCGAAAAAATAAATACGTCTTTGGTAATTATTGACAAATAAATGACATAAGCAAACAGTAATCATCAAACTAATAATTGTATTAAGAATATAGTTTGAAACTAAGTCTAGATACATTAAACGAAAGTTAATACTCCCTCCGTCCCATAATTATTATCCAGTTTGAGTTTTCATTTTTAGTTCAAATTGTACTAAAAGTAAAATCTCAAACTGGACAATAATTTTGGGATAGTGGGAGTATTATTTTTCAGATTATTCTATTTGATATATTTTTCAAAAATTAAAATATTAGTTACCAAAAAAAAAATTGTTACCAAATAACTATATTATGAATACAATTTAAAACCAAGTCTACCTATATTACAAGTGTGTTAATATTATTTCTTAGATGATTGGTATATTTCCATAAATAAAAAGAGACTACTTACCAAAACGATTAGATTATTTACCAAATAATTATATGAATACAATCCAAAACTAAGCCTAGATATATTAAACATAAGTTGATAATATTTTTCTGATGATTCTATTTGATATATTTTTGAAAAATAAAAATAGATTAGTTACCAATAACAAAAAAATGTATTTGTTATCAAATAATTACACTGCGAATACAATACGAAACCAAGTCTACTAACATTACAAGTATGTTAATATTATTTCTTATATGATTGGTATATTTTTCATAAGTAAAAAGAGACTACTTACCAAAGTGATGAGATTATTTACCAAATAATTATACAAGTACAGTTCAAAACTAAGTCTGGATACTTTAAACATAAGTTGATAATTTTTATTCTGATGATTCTATTTGATATATTTTCCAAAATAAAAATAGATTAGTTATCAATAACAAAAAAATGTATTTGTTACCAAATAATTATAATGCGAATACAATACGAAACTAAATCTGGATAAATTAAACGTATGTTCATATTATTTTTCAGATTATTTCGTTTGATATATTTTTCAAAAATAAAAGGAGATTAGTTACTAAATATTTATACTACAAATATAATTTGAAACCAAGTCTGTATACATGCAAGATAGGTTAATATTATTTTATATATGATTCCATTTAATCTATTTTAAAAAAAAATAAAAAGAGATTAATTTCAAAAAATAAAAGGAGATTAGTTATAAATTATTATATTATGAATACAATTTAAAAACCAAATTTGGATTCATTAAATGTAGATTAATATTATTTCTCAAAACATTTTATTTGATATATTTTCCAAAATAAAAAGAGATTAATTACAAAAATAAAGAGATTAGTTACCGAATCATTATATTATGTATACAATTCAAAACTAAGTCTAGATACATTAAATGTATATTCGTATTATTTTAAATGATTCCATTTGATATATTTTTTCAAAAATAAAAAACATAGTTATAAAAAATACAAAGATTAGTTGCCAAATCATTATATTACGAATACAATTTGAAAAAGTTTAGATACATCATACATATGCTAATATTATTTTTTAAATAATTTCATTTGATATATTTTTCAAAAATAAAGAGAGTTTAATTACAAAAATTAAAAAGAGATTAGTTAGTAAATGATTATACTACGTACGTATACAATTGGGACCAAGTCTATATCCATTAAACTTGGAATAACATTATTTTTCATGATTCCATTTGAGATATTTTTCAAAATTAAAAAGAGATTAATTATAAAATATTATATTATGAATACAATTCGAAACCAAATCTAGATACATTAAACGTAGGTTAGTATTATTTTTTTAAGATAATTTTATTTAATGTATTTTCAAAAACAAAAGGAGTTGGTATACCAAAAATAAAAAGACATAAGTACCAAATAATTTTTCTTACAATACAATTTACAACAAGATCTGAATACGTTAAACGTAGGTTAATATTATTTTTCACATAATTCGATTTGATATATTTTTTAAAATAAAAAAGATTAGTCACTAAAAAAAATAAAGAGGTTATGTTTTGATTCTCTCCTCTTATTTTCTTCCCCTTCATCCTCTATCTCTTCCCCCTCCCTTCTCCCCTTCGATATGAATCTCCTTTTTTTGTCTGAAAGATATACACTGGTATCTCTCTTTGTTGAGTTGTAATTCTAGATGGATATTTTTTATTTGTTGGTCGAAAAGGGAGTATGATGGATTTCAATTGACATGATAAGTTGTACTTTAATATTGTTAACTCAGTGTTTAGAGTGATTGTTAGAATTTCACTTGATTTCTTAATTTTGCTTGTGTTGAAGAAGGTTCGTTAGCTTATCCCAGTGTGGACATTTGTGGATGACCTTTTGTCTGATTTTTTATTAATAATGGGAAATGTGGTCGTTAATTCCAAAAATTTCATCAATAGAAACAATCTATATGATTTTTTTCCTTTTGTTTTGAACTGTTAACTAATCATTTTATGTTGCATTTTAAACTTCGACATTATAAGGAAAATTTTGGCACTAATGACATACCTTTTCTTTTCTAGAGGGGAGACATCATTTTTAGAACATGTATTATATTTTCCATGTTAAGCATTATTTCTGTTGTATGTCAATGACAAATATTTATGAGTATTGATGGTTTTATTTTTAAACAATCACGAGGGTTTCATTTTGGTATGTTTTGCAGCGTTGCTATTATAAAATTTCAATGGGTTTAGCTAAAACATAGTTATGCATCAATCTCTGTCTAAAGGAGCCAGATAGACTACAACGAAATTGCTCATATTCTAGAGTCTGAAGGTAAATATATACTTTATTTGAGATATTAATAGTTAAATATATTTACTTTAAGTGCATGATTATCTATATGTTTTGGTTTTACAGGAGAAGTGTGGCACCGTGATGGCAAAAGAATAAGTACCTCGAAAATAACTCATAACTAAGGAAAAAGTTATGAGTCCAGATAATTAAAATAGGCCATGCACCCGCTATGCACAGCCTGTTTTGTTATTAAAAAAAACTAAGGAAAAAGTTTGGAATATGGATAAGTATTTCAAATATTATTTATTAGTTTTCTTTTGTCATGGTTTTTCCCCTATTTTTTGTCCTTTATTCACTTTTGTTGGATTTTTTTTTTCTTATTTTGTTTTATGCCTAAAAAAAGATTATTTATAATATTTGATTCAATTACTACAAGTAAACAATATATACTTTTCAGTCAATATATTTTAAGAATATACATGATTTAATTTTTATAGTTGAAAATAATTTTTATATACTTATATCCCTAAAAAAGTAGGATAGTAGACAATTGATCATATTAATTTGTATTTAGAATTTTTTTTTTATATATATACTAACACTCCTAAATAAGAAGCATATTAGATAGTTGAAAATATTAATTTATATTTTAAAATATCCTATACTAAGAAGTACTTGATCAAAGTGGTAACAATATTGGACCACGTTAACTATAATCCATGGTTAAATCTGTGCATGGGCATGTAGTAATAATTGTTGGGAGAGGTTTGTCTTCCAAAAGTGACCTACCTAATTCGAAGACGAATTAGTTGAAACAATGATTTCGAACATCGGATGCACTATATACCAAAAATGAAAAAAAAAAAAAACCATATGACACTCTTGAATTTGGACTCCGAATAATATACCAAAAAACGAAAAAATTAAAATATATGGTACTTTTCATAGGAAAATAATAGTATATTAATGTTACTCTAAAATATAGTAAAATTCGCACAACGTGCGGGCATAATACTAGTATTAAAAAAAATCACACAATCATCCAGGAGGAGTAATAAAATCCAAAGGATAAAATTGAAATGGTAACTAATTAACATATTCTCCAACTATTCAATTTTCTGAAGCCACTCGACAAATAAATCAACTCTGCGGTATTGTATCATTCATACTATATAGTTCAGACATAAGGATTTTCAATTTATTTTTCCATTGAGTACTGACGAACTACTCTGCAAGATACTTGTTTTAACTTTTAAGAATGTCTTATGAATATTTCATTATTGTGTCTAGAAACGCTAGAATAAAAAGTAATAAAAAAAAATTTTGTGTACTATAAAATTTGTTTCCCCTCATAATTGTTTGTCAAAGGTCTCCACCCCAGAATTAGATTTAGGCCACCGGCAAACGGAGAGCAGAAGTTGACCTTGAACTTCTTGTTACAAACTAATACAATGGCAGCTGATCCTAACATTGACCCATATGGCTATATGGGAATCGCACCAAATGAAGACGGCTCAATTACCCGTCTAGCAGAAAAGCCATCCACTCCGGCTTCATCTGACCCCGGCTCCGGCAACCCTTTTCATCTCTCCAAGGATATTCCGATTAACCCATCAAAACACACTTGGGCTCGAATTTTCTTGCCCCGTCAAGCATTCGATTCTTCTCCACTCCAGAAACTGCCCCTCTTCATTTACTTTTACGGTGGAGGATTCGTTGTCTGCAGGGTCAACTCCTCTGTCTTTGACGGTTTATACACCACCATTGCTGCTGGAACGCCAGCAGTTGTTATCTCCGTCGGGTACCGGCGAGCGCCGGAGCACCGTCTCCCGGCAGCCTACGATGATTCTGAGGAGGCCTTGCACTGGGTGAAATCTTGCAAGGACGAATGGCTGATAAAGTACGCCGATTTCTCCAAGTGTTTTCTGATGGGTACCAGCGCCGGCGGTAACATAGTATACCACGTGGGACTACGCGCCGCCGAGTACGCCGACAGTTTCTTGCCTCTTCAGATCAAAGGGCTAATATTGCACCAACCCTTTTTCGGCGGGACCAAGAGGAGTGGATCGGAGTTGAGACTGGCCAATGATAAGGTTCTTCCGCTTTGTGTTAGCGATCTGATGTGGAAATGGAGCCTGCCGGTCGGCGTTGACCGAGACCATGAATACTCCAATCCGGTTTTGAGTCTCAAATCAGGACGTTTTGATGGTATCAAAGCATTGGGATGGAAGGTTTTGATCACGGGTTGTGACGGTGACCCGTTGGTTGACCGTGAGATGGAGCTTGCGAAGAAGCTTGAAGAACACGGCGTGCCGGTGACCGGAAAGTTTGACGAGGGAGGATATCATGGATGTGATTCTCATGATCCATCGAGAGCTGCGGTGTTGACGAAGAATCTGAAAGAGTTCGTGGAATCGGCCATCAATTCCTCAAAATTGTAACTGGCCTGTCTTAGGAATTTCACCTGGTTCCTTTCATGAATGAAAATTTTAATTTGCTTGCTGCGTTATTGTACCAATATTATTAATTCGATCAAACAAGTTTCATGTTTGATGATTCTGTTTTTAGTTCTTATATGGTTCAGATGGTTCATCATATATGGTGCACTGGTCTAATTAATTGAAACTATTTAAGGAATCAATTATTATTTAAAATATTACTAATATTAAATTAGTCAATCCTCTTTTCATATTTAATATCATATATCATATATCATATATTCAAACAAATTACGTGATTACAAAAATATTCAAAAATGAAGAAATATTTATTTATTAATATACTTCTATTCATACAAAAACTAAATGTTCATAATCATACAATATAAAATTCATGAATGATGACGAGTCCAAACTGAACCCTAGGCCTATTGGGCCTAAGATTAGGTTATTTGGAGATTAAGCCGCCGTCTAAACCTATTCCGACTAGGTTTAAAACAAACAGATAACACCACCTCCATATAAAGAGGTGGTGCCTCTCCCATATTTCATATCTTCTACATATCTTCTACACTTTAGACACACGATACACATACTTCTCTTTCTATTCTCTTTATTCCTTTATTGACTTAAGTATCGGAGAGTCTACCCTCGAGAGACATCTGAGGCTCTGTCTTGTAGGTTTTAGACTGTCCGCCGCCGCCTAGATCATCGTCGCCGCCCGTCCTAAGGCACTGTACAAATCCAGGCTTCAGCAAGTAGCACGCTCAGTGGGACCGATTTGTTTGGTCTTCACAACCAAATAAATTTCTTAGCGAAGCACGGAATCTTTTTTTATCTTTGGGCAGCCACGTGTTAATTTGTTGCTCCGATTTTGCAATTAGAAGATCACGCAAAAAATTTTCTTTGTTTGGCCAAGAAGACGTTGGCCGACAAGTAGCACAAAGAAGATTTTGGTTGCACAAAGAATTCGAGGAGCCGCACTTGCTCGACAGCTGATTGAGAAGAACAGCCCCTGAAGTTCAAAATCCGACAAAAGGGGCAGAATATTCAGCCGAGAATAATTCCTCAATTTGAGAATTGCCACGTAATCCCTAATAATTTTAATTATTTGGTCCCTAAATATTTTAAAATTTTGCAGATTAGCAAGGGGCAATCTCGAAGATTGGAGTTTTGAGACATACATCTTCTCGAAGGGGCAACAACCCCTCGAGCACCATATTACTACTCGAAGTGTTCGAGAAGATATATCTCGACTTTTATCTACTCAACAACTACCTTCTCGGAATCGAGGTAACACCTTTTCGAATAATTAATTTATCTCGAGACTGAGGTACTTTTCAAACTTTTTTTAATATATTTCTAGAATATAAATTAATCTACTGATGATATTCTTTACGAGTATTTTATTACTACATGTCATACTATATTGCATCTCGAGCATCCAAACATATAGGGGCCACCCTTCAAATCAGACATTGGGGACCACTTCGTATCAGAAAGGAACCGAAAGACCCGCTAGACGGGCACCGTGTTTAAATAAGACCTGCTTGACGGGCACGACCCACAAAGACCTGCACGACAGGCAATATAGGCTTCTCATCTTCAAATAAGAGAGTATAAGCTTCTTAACTTCAAATAAGAGAGTATAGGCTTCTAACCTTTAAATAAGAAGAATCTAGGCACCATCCTCCTAACTCGGCATATACAAGCTTCCCCCTCCTAATCAGGAATTTACTAACACAAAGACCTCCTCGAGGCATTCTACTCTCTTTTATTTGATATAGGTGACACCCGAGAACCAAAGAGTTTGAGAACTGGGGCAACACCGCAAAACTAGAGAAGACATCAACACTCGTAGCAACCCATATCCTTCTCGGCAAACCTCGAGAATATGGCTTGCTAGGGGACTTGACGAGTCCAAACTGAAACCTAGGGCTATTGGGCCTAGGATTAGGTCACTTGGAGATTAAGCCACCGTCTAAAAATATTCCGACTTGGTTTAAAGGAAATAGGTAAGAGGTGGTGCCTCTACCATATTTCATATCTTCTACATATCTTCTACACCTTCTACATACGATACACATACTTCTCTCTCTACTCTCTTTATTCCTTTATTGACTTAAGTATCGGAGAGTCTACTCTCGGGAGACACCCGAGGCTCTGTCTTGCAGGTTTTAGGCCGTCCGCCGCTGCCTAGATCATCATTACCGCCCGTCCAAAGGTACTGTACAAATCCAGGCTTCGTCAAATGATAAACATATTTTTCATATCAAATATATTAAAAAAATTCATATCTTTTAATTAAAAAATTGTACACGTAATAACAAATTAAAGGTTGTAATATTTTTAATCTTCTATTAATACATACAACTATGACTATTCATGAAAATTATGCTAAATGTTTATACTTTTTTTTTCTGAAATATTCATGAATAACAAGGATACCTTTCATATTATATCATATGTATCCAAATTTCATAATTTTTTTAGAGAATTATAGACTAATGCAAATAAGCAGTCTATATTTATACCCATATAAAATAATGTTCATGAGAATTAAGTAAATTTTCATACAAAGAAAATAAAAATATTAATTAAATATTTAAAAATCTTATATTTATAGTTCATACTCATTCTATGAAAAATTCATGAGTTATAATAATATTTTTCATGACATATATATATATATCAAAATTTCATATTTTTTTATTAAATTTAAATTGTTCCTAATTTTCAAACTACGTCAGTAATTATGAATAGAGAAAAGAGTCATTAATTATCTATAGAAGAAAGAGTTACAAAATTATTAGAATATTGTTATTTAAAAGTATGGTATGAGAAATTAAATGATGTAAGATAATGAATTGATTTAATAAAATTTTCTTAATTTTTGATTCCATAATCAGATTATATTAATTAGACAAGTGTATCATATATTGTACACAAGGTTCATTATATAAATTGCCTTCTATTTTGGCTTCTCTTTTCGGGATCATTCATATGTGTGGATAACAATCTGATAACAATTTGTGGATTGAAAACACGTGTAGACAAATAAATTCGCACATCCATTTCGAGTCATCACACCTCTATGACCATTATCAACCAATTGTTGGCCTAGTCGGTTTTGGTTATAAATTGGTACAATATATAATATTTATGCATTATGCATTTTTCGGGGGGAAAAAAAATTAGCATTGTATCAAAGGGATGAAATTAGTTATCAGAAAACTTTGCACATAAAAGGTTTCTTGTTTTGTTTTGAAGCTTACAAATTCAAAAGCGAGTCGCAGGAATTATATAAGTTGTTAATTTAAGGCTTTGCATGATGATAGTAGCAGTATATCATCGACCATATTTATGCAATCAGATAGTAAATTTAAAATCTATTGGGTGCAAGAAGTACAGTAAATTTAATGATATGATACTATTATAAGTAAATTTTTTCCACGAGAAAGATTCGATTATACCGCCTTACTGTCTTAGTTCGATCATAAAAAGTCAAACTTTGAAATGCTACTACAATTAAGTGATTAACCACTTCATTCTACAATCTACACTCTGCAGCAGCCTACTGTGCGACTCTGTTTCCTAGAAAAGCCAAACAAACACAGTTAAGTAATTCAGATCTCAAGCTCAAAGCTTCAATACAGTTCAAAACTCGTGCCCTGAACTCTGCGAATGGCGGATCCTAATACAGACCCATATGGCTGTATAGGATTCGCTCCGAATCCTGACGGCTCAATTACTCGAGTAGTCGAAGCACCAAGGACTCCGGCCGGCAGCAATCCTTTTCACCTCTCCAAAGACCTTCCGATTAACCAATCCAAAGGCACTTTCGCTCGAATTTTCGTACCCCGTCAAGCATTCGATTCCCCCGCAACAAGAAAGCTGCCTCTAATTATATATTTTCACGGTGGAGGATTCGTTGTCTCCGCCGTCGATTCGTCTTGCTATGACAGCTTACACACCACAATAGCAGCTGGAATCCCGGCGGTGGTTATCTCAATCGAGTACCGCCGGGCGCCGGAGCACCGTCTTCCGGCGGCCTACGACGACGGTGAGGAGGGTTTGCGCTGGGTGAAATCTTGCCAGGACGAATGGGTGACAAAATACGCCGATCCTACCAACTCTTTCCTGATGGGAACCAGTGCCGGCGGCAACCTCGTCTACCACGTCGGACTCCGTGCTGCGGCGGCGGCGGCGGCGGAATGCGGTGATGATCTCAAGCCACTCCAGATCAAAGGGCTGATTTTACATCATCCCTTTTTTGGTGGGACCAATAGGAGCGGGTCGGAGTTGAGACTGGTCAACGATAAGGTGATTCCACTCTGTGTCAGCGATCTGATGTGGAAACTGTGTCTGCCAATTGGCGTTGACCGTGATCATGAGTACTGCAATCCAACGGCGGGGATTGAACCAGGACATTTCGACGCCATCAGAGCCGTGGGATGGAAGATATTGATCACCGGTTATCACGGTGACCCGTTGGTGGACCGGCAGATTGAGCTGGCGGAGAAGCTGGAGGAGAACGGCGTAGCCGTGACCGGAAAATTTGAGGAGGGTGGATGTCATGCCTGTGATCTTTCTGATCCATTAAGAGCTTCAGTACTGTTATCGTACCTGAAAGAATTCGTAGAATCTGCCATTAATTCCTGAAATTTTGGACTGATTTTATCATTATTCTGTTGTTTTTATAGTACGTACTTTTTGAACTTTTCTTGTACCAATATTATTAACTTATCAAGTTATACGTTTTTGATATGCGAAGTGGAACTGCACAAAGTTCTGGTTGTACACATAACTTCTTTTTCTTTTCTTTTTTTTTCTTATCAAGTTTTACTTTCTTTCTTTTTTTTTCCCCCCAGGAATAAGTCTATTCTGAATACTTTCACAATAGGTAGTAATCATTTGATGCATCTGCCTGTAGATCTATATCAATGAATTAACAATGAAGTCCAAGTATTTCAACAAGCGGTACTCTCTTCGTCCCATAATTATTTTACAGTTTGAGTTTTCATTTTTAGTTCATAAGTACTAAAATTGAAATCTCAAACTAGACAATAATTTTAGGACGGAGGGAGTAATTGTTATGACAGCTGAACCTACAATTTGGAAGTCAGGGAATTTTTTAGACGAAAATTTTTGGCGAAATCTTTCATTTGATCGTTGCATCTGTTGATTTTATTATGTTAGTGCTACGTATTCTTCGAAGTAAGTATGTTTTAGTTATGGTTTTGGTATCATTTTGAAAAAAAATGTGTTGAATAACGTTTTCAAAATAATTCCTTGCCTGAGAACTTTTCCTTTTGATCCTAGTTATAAGTTATAAATTTAAATTAAAGTACTCACTTTAAATTTGTACAGTATCTTATAATTAGGACATGATGGTGACGAAGTTAGAAGTGTGAACTAATTTGTCCATTTGATGACGTGACTTTTGTGGTGCGAAATCTTTTTCAGGTCTACAATTTCTGAAATTTATGGTCAGTTGTCCCTTTGAGATTATTTTTTAAGAAGATATTACATCAACCCATGAATTTTAGGTACCGAAATGATTCAATAATAATCCAAAAATCATCTCCAAAAAAAAGTTCTTTGTGGTATTTTTGTGTTACAGAGTACTTAAATAATTGACACATGTCTAATTATTTTCTCAAATGGGTCAACTTACCATTTATTTATATTTTATTATAGTGTTATAATAGTATAATAACGAGAAGAATATGCCAACTGTTTAAATATAGCTGATTTATCTTATTTTTATCACACTTATACTTTTTGATGATTTATTTTCTCTTTTTCTTTCATCTTTCAACTTTAATTGACGGGAAAGTTGATTGGGAGAATTCAATAGGGATGCAATGATCGAAATTGCCAATCATCCGATCATAGTAATTACATACTTACATACTTATGAAATCTATAATTAAGGTTAATAGTGATTCTTTGAGATTAGTGTGACATAATATTTTCTTTTGTGACATCACCTTATGTCTATTTAAGTTTGGCTGTTACCTGTAACAAAATTCACGTAAAGTACATCCGCGCCAATTATTTGACTTCGCAGCTCAAACTGACTTGCTGAATAATTCTATCCGACTAATGGTTTCCGTGCTTCACACACGCTACATGCACGTGAATGTTCCAAAAAATATATATATTTTTTTAAATATACCTGTATATTAAGAAAAGATACTTCTACTATTACAAGACATTCTATTATATGTTAGGTTATATAATTGTACAACATCTTGTCTACTCAGTTTAGTCACTGTGCATGACTGAAAAGAAGAAAAAGTACTTTTCAATAAAGAGACTACCTCTTGAGCCTCCAAAGGTATATCAAGAGATAGCAAATCTCCGATAAGAGCTTCACAATCTGTATAAACCATAAGACTAGTGATACACAAATATGCTACTTCGTTCAAAGCCATAAGACATGTCATTGCCTTCGACTGAAAAGGAGAAAGCACATTTAGATCCATCGTTTTGATTTGCATTACCATCCCATGGGGTGCTATTATCTTCCATGCTCCAGCTGTTTTCCTTAATTGGTGACTGAATGAACCATCAAATATGACTAAAGCGTCCGTTGGATTCCTATTCAGGTGTTGTTGAATGGAAAATCTTCTAGCTGTGATTTTGGATTGGTTCTGTTGATGAAGATTGACTTCAGTTTGAATGAATCTTCGTGACACCGCCGGATCATTACTTTGATTCCTTCAAATTTTATCATTTCATTCCATCCATATCCTCCAAATAATGATTAGGAAGAAGTCTACCTCTTGTTTAGACGGATGTGTCTGAATCCAAGCTATGAACCATTGCAGCAAAGAATCATATGTGGTATTAAAAATAGAACCAAACCGTGGAAAAGCTAAGGCCCAAATAGCCGGGGATGTCTCACATTTGAAGAATAAGTGCAAATTGTCTTCAACGTGTTGAGAACATCTTGGGCAAATTTCATCCACCTGAACGCCTCAATTAGCCAATTCTGATCTTGTAGAAAGAGCATTAAGTAGCGCCTCCAAAATAGAAATTTGTGTTTAGGCTGAACTCCTGAGTTCCAAAGACGTTACCGAGCTAACCTTTCCAGATTCACAATTGCTGGGTCTTGAACAGGTTGTGGGAGATGGGCATTAATAGCCAACTGGTACCCTGTTTTCACAGTGTAATTGTCATGATCTGAGAGTTCTCAATAGAATTTATCCCTGTGATTCTGCCTTCTAGATCAATAAAAATGCCAATGATGTGAGAGATAACTTGATTCGGGAAAAAATTCCTCAGTGCGGGGACTTTTCATTGGCCATTTGTATTAATAAAACGATCAACTTTCAAATTAAAATTCGCTAGAATAGAATTTGCACTGATTGGATTTTGAATGCCAGGAATCCAGTTTGCTGACAGAGGAATATCTTTACCTGAAATCACTTTCCACTTGATATGATCTTGTAATAACTCAGCTCCCCCTAGTATACTCTTGAATCCCCCACGACGGGTTTCTGGGAGGTTGTACCGGAGGGAACACACCATTTGGACAATATTTGGCACGGAAAAGCTTAGCCAACAAAGAATGAGGTGTAGACATTATCTTCCATGCATGCTTAGCGAGAAGTGCCTGATTAAATTCCTTTGTAACTTTAAGACCCAAACCTCCATGAAAGGTAGATTTTGTGATTTCCTTACATGCCCGCTAATGAATTTTCTTGTCTTGATTATCACCTTTCCACACAAAATTACCAATGATTTGGTCCGCCTTTTCAACGTGTGAACAGGTACTTAAATATTCCAATTGGGTAAACCAACATTAAAGACAAAGTGGATTTGGCTAGAGTCACTCTTCCTTTAAGCGACAACAACTTAGTTTTTCATAATGCAAACTTATGACTAATCTTTGCAGTAAATTCATTGAAGATGACTATCTTCTTTTCATTAAAATTCAGGCTCATTCTCAAATATTTGTTATGAAACTTTCCAACTGGAATCTTAAGAGTAGAATGTATAAAGTGATTCATATCCTGACTAATATTATCACTAATGAGAATAGAAGACTTGTGAAAGTTATGTCCTGAAAAATTGGTGTAATTTTCAAGTAGTCCTACCAATGCTAAAGCAGTTGACTCCTTGCATTCAATAAATAAGAGGCTATCATCTGCATGTATAAGGTGACTCACCCTAGAAGTGTGACGACTTATTCTGACCCCCAATCCTGGAAAGTTTTGGATCTCTGATTTAGTTGCCGAGGAGAGAATCTGTTGACATAAAATAAATAGATACGGTGATAAAGGACAACCCTGCCTCAAACCTTTATTCGGAGAAAAAGGTGGTAAACTCTTGCCATTAAATTGAATGGAATAAGAGATAGAAGAGACACAATAAAGCAGTCAATCTTGGAGGGAAGTTTGCCTTTTGAAGAACCGCCTGTAAAAAGGACCATGAAACTCTATCATAAGCTTTACTCAATCAAGTTTGATGGATGCCAATCCATGAGCACTCTTTTACTTCCTTATACACTCAATGACCTCATGAGCTATGAGAATATTTTCACCGATATTTCTGCCAGGCACAAATCCATTTTGATGCTCATCGATAAGATCATTCATCACCTGTTTAAAACGATTTTTTATCATATTTGTAATGATCTTATACTTGACGTTGCATAAACTGATGTGGTGGAAATCATTTGGAGTTAATGGTGAAGCTGGCTTAGGTATGAGAACCAAATGAGTATGATTCCACTCCGAGAGAAGTGCATGGTATTAAAAGTTTCAAGAATAGAGGTTTGAACTTCTGAACCAATAATATCCTTGTAATGATGATAGAAACCTGCTGGCATACCATTCGGTCCCAGTGATTTCCAGGGAAACATTTGCTTGACTGCAGACCACACTTCCGTCTCTGTGAATGGAGCATTCTAAATAAGCAGCTTGATTAGTGGATATGGATTCCTCTACATTATCTGGAAGACTTGTGAAGAATGAGAAAATCTGCGAATTTTGAGAGCTTGACTCCACTGATATATATATATATATATATATATATATATATGAGAAATGATTTTGGAGCAGTGAACTAATTTGGGCATGATCCTGAATCCTTACACCTTGATCATCATAGAGCTCATTGATCCATTTGTTACCTTTTCTCCTAGCAGCCCATTGGTGAAAAAGTTTTGTGTTTTTGTCACCAAATTGTGACCAATTAAGCTTTGATCTTTGTTGCCAATAGTCATGCTGAACTTGAAGGGTTTCCTCTAATTCCACTCGCTGATTTTCTAGTAGTGAAGTCAGCTGCACATCATTCTTGTTTCCTTCCCATTGCAATTGAACTTGAGACAACTTCTCACACAATTTAAAGACCAGATTGTCCAAATTACCGTACCTCAGTTTACTCCACTTGTGCAGTATAGATAGAGTTCTATCAAGTTTGAATGAAAGGCTTTCCTGAGAATGCTCAATCTACAATGACGGTTGCATCCACGCTTGAGAAGCCATATCCTTGGAAGTTGGGCAATTGGACCAAAAAATTATTAGCTTTATCGGATTTTCTCTGTAAAAAATACTCCCTCTACTCCTTAATGTAAGACATTTTGATTTGTCCTAAATTTAATCTAGTTTACAATTTTAATTGAAAAAAAACCTTTAAAATATTTCATAACAATCAAGAGAACACAACGAACGTGAAAATATATTTTTAAAATTTTTTTGACAATTAAAAATGCATGCTAGGTGAAGTCTAAGACAAATAAAAATGTCTTATATTAAGGACCGAAAGGAGTAATTCTTGTTATAATTTGTAACTATTTTCTTGATAAGAAAAGTAGAATAAAATGGTCAATTTTGTTAAATCAAAATAATTTAACACAGTGACAACTGAAAACATAGGAGTTTTATGTTAAATTTCCTACATCATACGTGTTAAAGTCTTAATCACTTATTGTAATCAATGTTGTTCATAACTTCCATTTCTCTTTTTAAATAACAAAAGGAAGAGGCTAAACTGCTAAAGCCTCGCTATTATTTAAATTATCGTATTTCGAAGTTAAGTCACCCTTACAAAATCATGCCCGAGCCAAATTTAACACTTGACAGGACTTTTAATCCATTGTAATTCTTCATATCCTTAACTGCTAGCAATACCAAAGAGTCCGTTAGGGTAAGTACTTTCAAGTAAAAGCTCATGTATTTTAAAAGCAAGATTGTCCCTTAGAGTACGTACTTTCAAGTCTCAATAAAATTTGCTAACACTTGGCCGCGGCGCCACTTCCAACCCCCAAGTACATTAATTAGCATCATTCAAAATCTGACTAAACGTTCAGTTTTTTAAAGTGGTATGACCGTAAACTAAACACTAATTGTTATCCGTGCTATTATATTCGAATTTCCTTCTGTAATCAGAAGGACTACGTTGGAAATGCCAAGCTGCTGACATTAACAAAAGTTGATCAGAAATCCATTTAGCTAGTGGGGTTTCTTTTTTAATAGTCGCAATTACGTCAACTTAAAATAATGCTCCTATTCAGATGCTTCCCAATCAAACAGCCGCCATGGAGATATAAATCATAAACTAACTTCCATTTGCAAATTGTCCCTCAACCTTCAGCTCCTCTGTGACTTAACAATGGCAGATCCTAATTCAGACCCTTATGGCTATTTGGGATTGGCGCCAAATCCAGACGGCTCAATCACTCGCGTCGCCGAAATGCCAACAACTCGGGCCTCAGCTGATCCAGGCCACCCATTTTACGTCTCCAAGGATATTCCGATCAACCAATCAAAAGGCACCTGGGCTCGAATTTTCGTTCCCCGTCAAGCTTTCGATTCTTCCCCCGCCAGAAAACTGCCTCTCGTTATTTACTTTCACGGAGGAGGTTTCGTTGTTTGCAGGGTCAACACATCTTTATTCGACTCCTTGTACAATGAAATAGCTGCCGGAACGCCGTCAGTTGTTGTCTCCGTTGGTTACCGTTTGGCGCCGGAGCACCGTCTTCCGGTGGCATACGACGATTGTGAGGAGGGGTTGCACTGGCTGAAATCCTGCAAGGACGAATGGCTAACGAAATATGCCGATTTTTCCAAGAGTTTCCTGATGGGCACCAGCGCCGGCGGTAACATCGCTTACCACGTGGGGCTACGCGCCGCCGGCCGCGCTGATAATCTGAAGCCTATTCAGATCAAAGGGATAATATGTCATCAACCCTTTTTCGGTGGGGTCAATAGGAATGGATCGGAGTTGAGACTGGCCGACGATAAGGTATTTCCACTTGGTGTCAGTGATCTGATGTGGAAACTCTGTCTCCCAGTTGGCGTTGACCGAGACCATGAGTACTCCAATCCGGTTCTGAGTCTCAAATCAGGACATTTTGATGGTATCAAAGCATTGGGATGGAAGATTTTAATCACGGGTTGTGACGGTGACCCGTTGGTCGACCGTCAAATCGAGCTTGCGAAGAAGCTGGAAGAGGAGGGTGTTCCGGTAACCGGAATATTTGACGAGGGTGGATTTCATGGGTTTGATTCTATTGATCCATCCCGAGTTACAGTTCTGTCGACGTATCTGAAAGGATTCGTAGAATCTGTTATCAATTCTTCACCAAAATGAAGATGGCACTATAGAATTTCTATTCCTTTCATGATTTACAGTTTTTCTTTTTTTTTTCCTCCCGGTTTCTCAAAATTAATTTAATTACCAAACACATTTGATGATATTTGTATTTTTCATTTTTCTTTCATCTTTCCTTCACATAATGAAATAACAATATCTCATTGCAAAGGAAACTGTGATAGATTGAACGTTTTGCTGTTGTCACTTGTGTATATTGCATTGTTGCGCTGAACACAGTTTCGACGTGTTTTGGTATTATTATAATGAAGAAATGTGTGGGTTATCAATTTTCTAGGCTGCAAACATGACAAAGTTGCATTATTTACTTAAAAAGGAAAAGCGGGAAAATGAAAAGGTGGATAAACAGTTTCCAGGCAGAAAATATATGTGCGAAGGACTTAGTAACGATCCAACAATGAACAAATTATGATTCATGTAATTAATCCTACTATACCTATAAAAAGGTTCCTTGTAACATCCAGAAATTTTTCCAAACTTCGGGAAAATACAACGGAACCTATATCTCTGATGGAGAGGTTTTCTTGTAACATCCAGAAACTTTTCCGAACTTTGGGAAAATTCAACGCAATCTAGGACGTCTAGATATTCACAATTGGGGGATTGTTTTGTGGTGGGTTGGGGAGCCACATAGAACTCCATATGCAACAAAGTTCTAGGCTGCAATTTTATCTTTTTCTCATCTTATTATTATACATAAAGAATATTGGTGACGTTTTGAGTCATTGTATGTTATCTCCCCTGTCTCAAATAATTGTTTTTAGGAATTTTTACATTTAATACAATTTATAGTAAAAATAAAAAAAATTCAAATTAAATTATTATCTCTGTCTCAAAATGACCGTTTTATTGAAATTTAATTTTTAAAACAATTAAAATTGAAAACCAAAATTCAACAGTTATTTTAGGTCAGGAGGAGTTTTTGTTGGTTAGAAGCAGGAACGATGAGCTTACCAACTTACTACTACCTTAATGGTACAAATTGCATTCCTACATCTTCACGAACTGTATCATCTATGCACAAAACACGAGTACTTCAAACTACATTTTCAACTTAATTAGAAAGGACAGATATGGTTTTGGTAGAGCTGGCATATCAAATTGAAATTAACTTCTTTCTTTTTTCTTTTTTTCTCCTGAAGATTCTAACCAAACATCACCAAAGTCCAAAAATTTGACTGAAAAATGAGTATGTTGTCCCGTATAACAATTGACGACCATCTTTTCGAGTTCCGACTAATCTAAAGTTGAGTCTTAGAAAGCAAACAACCGTTGTGAGCTAAAAAAAGGAGAGGTATTTTTTCGATTAAAAAATATTCAATCCCAAAACCAAAACCAGAATTTGTTCTTTCCCTTCTTCTTCATAAATGGCGAGCAATTTGCCAGATCCTGAGAAAGACCCGTATGGCTATTTTGGGCTCCGCCTGAATTCAGACGGTTCAATTACCCGTCTACCGGAACCGCCCGGTACTCCGGCCTCAGCCGATCCTTCCAACCCTCATCATCTTTCCAAGGACATTCCGATAAATCAATCAAAAGCCACTTGGGCCCGAATTTTCGTGCCCCGTGAATGTTTCGATTCATCCTCCTCCGCCGCAAAAAAACTGCCGCTCATTGTTTACTTCCACGGCGGCGGATTCGTCATCGGCCACGTGGATTCATCCTATCTTGACAATTTGTACATCACCCTCGCCGCTGGAACACCGGCGGTCGTCGTCTCCGTCGAGTACCGTCTCGCGCCGGAGCACCGTCTCCCGGCAGCCTACGATGACTGCGAGGAAAGTTTGCATTGGCTGAGATCCTGCAGCGACGAATGGCTTGAAAAATACGCCGACTTTTCCAGATGTTTCCTGATGGGTACCAGCGCCGGCGGTACAATCGCTTACCACGTGGGACTACGGGCAGCGGCCGGCGGAGATGATCTCATGCCGGTTCAGATCAAAGGGCTAGTATTGCATCACGCATTTTTCGGTGGGATTCAGAGGACAGATTCGGAGGTGAGACTGGCCCATGATAAAGTGGTTCCCCTTTGTGTCACCGATCTGGCTTGGCAACTCTGTTTACCGGTCGGCGCCGACCGAGATCATGAGCATTCCAATCCGATGGTTGGTATTAAAGCTGGACATTTTGATGCTGTCAAAACTCTGGAATGGAAGTTTTTGTTCGTGGGATATTACGGTGACCCGTTGGTGGACCGTCAGATTGAGCTTGCGAAGACGGTAGAAGAGAATGGCCTAACGGTGGTGAAGAAGTTTTATGAGGGAGGATTTCATGGGTGTGACATATTTGATCCCTCTAGAGCTGAGGTACTCCGTACAAATCTGCAAGAATTCATTGGCTCTGCCGTTAATTCCTGAAACTCTGATAGACCTAGGAATTTCAGCTACTCTGTTTTCCCCTGTATGTAACCCGAAATTTATTCGGGGATTTTCTTGTATCAAAATTCTTTATATATATCAGCTGCCTTGAAAAGAAATGAAAGGAATATGTATGCCTCAAGATCAATCTTTAGTCGGATTCCAACTTGATTAACTGCATTCAGATTTAGAGTCAATGATGAAAAATTATGCATATTCCTCACTTTCACCAGAACATATGTTGATAGATTTTAAACGAGTAGAACACTTTATTTGATTCAGATTATACACTCTCCCCGTCTCGAAATTATTATCCAGTTTGTATTTTCAATTTTAGTTTAAATTGTACTAAAAGTGAAAATGCAAACTGGACAATAATTTTGGAACAGAGGAGAACTAAATTACAAGGTAACATTGGACTAATAGAAATTAATGTAAATACATCTTCAGGTGATATTACTTGATCAGTTGCTATGGATTTTGACAAATTCCTTGACAACCTCACAGAGAGACTTCATTCTAGCAGGGTCAGAAGCTTCATATCCATGGTAACCTCCTTCCTCATATTTAGCCACAATATTCACTCCATTCTCTTCCATCATTTTCACAAGCTCAACTTGACGATCATGCATCACATCATTTTCGTATCCAGTCACCAAAATCTTCCATCCCAAAGCTTTTATCCTATCAAATTGACCCGATTTGATGCTCAAAGCTGGATTACAGAACTCATGATCTCTATCTTCACCAACGGGCAGAGCTAATTCCCACATGATATCAGTAACGCAAGGCGGTAATATCTTGTCATTCAGATTCCTTAACTCGGATTCTGTCCTCTTTGTTCCACCTATAAATGGTTGGTGCAAGATCGCGCCTTTGATCTTCAAAGGATGCAATTCAGAAGCCAGTGAAGAAGCCCTCAAAGAAAGAAAATATGCTAAGTTGGATCCCGCACTGTTTCCCATGAGAAAAGCATTGCCAAAATCAGCATTTTTACTAAACCATTCCTCGCGAGGAAGATAGTTCTTGATCCATTGCAGAGTTTCAATCCCGTCTTCATATGCCGCGGGCAAGCGATGCTCCGGCCCACGACGATATTCCATAGATACAATCACTGCTGGAATGCCAACAGTAAAGGTATCATAAAACTCATCGAAATTTGGGGTATTGACATTCATGATCACATATCCTCCACCGTGCATGAAAATTATAAGTGGGAGTTTCTTGCCAACATGATCGGATGTTTGATCAATCGCTTGCTTAGGTAGGAATATGCGAACAAAGGTACCCTTGGATTGGTTGACAGGAATGTCTTTAACAAGAAGACGAGGATTGTTTTCATATGAGGAGATTGAGGTGGTTGGTTCTACAACTTGTTGCCGGATTATCGAGCCGTCGGGATGGCGAATGAAGCCTAAGTAGCCGACGGGATCTGTTTGGGGATCAATTGATGAAATCAGGGCAGGTTGATTTGCCATGGCAAAAAAAAGCTCAAGTTTATTTCAAAGTGTTTAATCGAATATGAGGTTTTTTGAATTGAGTTGTGTCATGCAACTCCGTATTTATAAATGCAGGCAAAGATATTCAAATGGAGGATTTTCAATTTTGCAAAGAAAAAGAGAAAGAAAAGTACTATTACATGATAGAAACTTAGCATGTGATTCATGGGGTAAAAATAAAATACTGCAACATTTCTGATGTATCAAGTAAGGCAAGATATTTTGTCCATATATTCACTCAATCACTCCAGATACTACTACGAAAGTTACAAGCACAAGTTGATCATGTTTCATGAATTTTAGGAGCGCACACATTTCTTATAATTATGTAGGTTTTACGTCATAAAATAATTGTTCTGCAGACAGTTGTGTATTATTGATAAGAGGCTTTCAAGTTGAACTTGGATATGGTGTGATGATCTTAATGAAAACTGCAAAATGTATTTTGATTTGGCTGTAATTTCCACCCGTAAGTTTCAGTGAATTTCCAGAATTTAACTACGTAAACAGTTGTTTTTCATTTACAATTTGTTAGAGTTTCTTGCTTTAAAAGTACTTCAAATCAGCTCTGATCAAATCTCTTGTACATATGGTCTTCAGTGAACAAAAAATAGACGTATAAGTATCACTTTCACCATCGTACTTCCATTTGTAAAAGGAATAGACACACAAATTCTCAAAACTGAATATTTAGACAGCATAACCAGACCTTGAAATTCCCAAGTTTCCAGTACTTGAGCACAAGACAGATCCTCAAATTTGATAAATTGGTGTCCTTGGTTTTATTCTTCTCCTCCTCATTTTTTTTAATTTTCTTTTTGGATCGCCTCTCAAGTGCCAGTTTCAAGATTGATTTGGGGGGTTTATATATTCTTTGATTGAATATGGATCTAATTAAATTTGAGTGCAATGATGCTGTCATATTTAGTTTTCTTTCGTACTTTAGTCTTTACCCTTAAATGTTCAAACACTATTTCAAATTAAATAGAACAGAGAACATGTAGGCCTGTAGGGTGCCTGACGGAAAACCTTATGAACTAAGACGCCCCTAGACAAAGAATTTCAGAGAACAATTTAACTAATAATTTGTTTTTCTTCTAGGCCAATACGATTTTCTCCCTCTCTCTTTTGATCTCTTTTGGCAATCTCCTATGAAAGCTAAAGGTTGTGCTGGCAATATCACCGATTATGCTTAACATATAAAAACGGACAGTATCAATAAGCGGTGAAAGTTTATCGATTCGTGGGACGGTGAATACATAAACTCTGAGAACTTTGTCATTTTGGATTCTAATATAACCAAAGAAAAAGAAAAAGATTTTGATTATCAGGTTGTATATACAATTAATCTCAATATGTACTACTACATGTTTTGCATTTATTTTCAATACTTGCCAAATCCTAGTAATAACTACATAGTATCAAAAAAGATGCGTGTATATATGTCTAATACATGCATGAATCAAAATTAATGAAAAATGAAAATTTTATTTGATACATGAATGAAACTAATAATGCGTATATGTCTTAATAATGAAAATGATGAAACTATTAATGAAAATTTATTTTTTCCTCTTTGTAGTGTCTGCCTTTTTAAATGTTGTTGGTTGGCCATTTATATGTAAGTTAAGGTCACCCAGTTGGAGAAACCACAATTGAAAAAATCATGGAATATTCGTATGTCTTCCTGTCTTGCATCTATCCCTCTTCAATTTTTTATCCACCACAACAACAAATTGCATGTCCTCATTTTTGCCCGCAGACCTCCCTCTAACACTCACCCTAAATCACACAGCAACAATGGAATCCATAAGAGATTTCATGGCTTTCGATACAACCCAAAATTGCTAAAAAACCCGCCACAAGGATCACCTGTCGAATCTGAGATTGGTAGGAATCGAACCCTCAGCCTTCCACTGTATGATGTAAACCTTTTTCTGAAATCAAATTACAAAGATTACCGCTCCCTAATCAAATATACCTTAGCCAAAGACGCGAAAAGAGCCGCCTGGATGGCTTCCCGTGTTATGGCTGTGAATTGGTCAACCGGGGCCGGAATTCATCAAAAAGCGGTGCAAATTCCCTTAGGGTATGTGGAAGGAGCATATGCAACGACCTTGCGAGTTGGAAATCCGCGACAAATAAATGTATGGTTAGTGGATACGGGTTCAGATTCGGTATGGTAGGATTGCAAACCATGCACAAGCTGCCCGCCTACTAGTTTCGACCCCTCCAAATCTTCAACCTTCAAGCAAGTGAATTGCGCGGATCTTAAAGAATGCCCTCGCAGGGAGGGTTTGAAGTGTCAATCTCCTACTGGAAACAATTGCGGGTTTGTAGTCGAATATCTTGATGGAACGATACTTATAGGTTTTATGGCGTACGAAAAGATTGCTACTGTCGGAGGCACTCTCATGGAGAGTTTGAAATTCGGATGCGCCGATGTAGGGCTAAACGTTTTCAAAGGCCACTGTTACACCAGAATCATCGGATTCGACAACGGCGTGCTCTCATTTATCCGTCAATACAAGGCCAAAGCTTTCAGCTTTTGTGGTACAACTTCATTCAGAGGGAGTCCATTGTACCTAAGTAACCCGAAAACCAACCACGATTAATCTATCTCTTTAGTTACCGTTTGAAACACCCTATTCTGTCCAGCTTGTGGGAATTTCGGTTGGGAATCAGTTCGTTAAAGCTGACCCTGATAACCCTCATCCAGATACTTTTATTAGGGCCGTTTTAGATTCAGGAACAAGAATTACATGGCTCCCTGACAATATCTACTTCATGTTCCGGGTCATTTTTAGGAGTAGCTTCGGGTTCGTGTTTTATGAAGAAGATCTTACTTGTTATAAGCTCGGTCGCCGTGATATAACAAAACTTCCGGCCATTACATTCTTCTTCCTTGGAAGTCCCGGAGAACGGATCCTTAACTGCTAAGCGAATATTCCTGCCTGCGGATGATTCTGGTAAATTTTGTTTAGCGTTTGCTCCGCAAGAGAAAGAATTCCCGTTTGCACTCATTGGAAGTTTTCCATTAACCTGAACTCGGGTCACCATCGATTTGCATTTCCAAGACATGTATCTCGATGTTAACAGTTGTTAATCGATCCTCCTAAGCATTCATTCATTGTATTGTATTTGATACTAAATTTGAAATTTAATTATATGAACCAAGATGCAACTTTTGTAATGGAATTTTTTTTTTTAAAAAAAATCAATTTTACACGTATGTATGGAGTTGTTTCTTCCCGACCTCCGATCCCGCATTTCACTTTTTGTCGGTTAAAGAGTTTAGGTGGTGCCTGGTTCAACCTAGGTACGATTGGAATGAGATTCATAAACTTTGAGATGAGATTCATAGAATAAGAATTGTTGATTGGTACCAAAGCTTCAATTCAGGTGCTTGGTTTACATGTAAATAGAAAGTAGAATTAACATAAAATTTCAATTGCAACCTTGCTGCTCTAACCCGATAACCATCCCACCACAATCACCGTTGCCTCTGTTTCCCCTGCCCACCATATCATTACTGCAACTGGAGAAACAATCATCTCAAATACTCCTTCCATTCCGAAATTATTTTTCAATTTGAATTTTTATTTTTAATATAAACTGTATTAAAATTAAAATTCAAACTGAACAATAATTTTGAGACAAAGGGAATAAAAAATAGACCCACAACCAAATCTAGGAGGAACCGAATTGAAGAAAAGAAAAAAAAATTAACACAGAATAAAAGATCAAACATCAACGAATCTGCAACATAAAATCAATTTTATTTCAATCGACATCATTCAATTACAAGCATCAAAGTTGAAAAACAAAGCCTATGAGTTTAACTAAATTGGTGAAGAACCTCAACACGGCCGCTCTTTACGCACCTCTTTTCTGCCATCGTTGACTAGATGTAGTTTTATTTTCTTAAGCAAGAATTTAGTCACATATACACCCATCCAAGAATGGAGTTTAGATTGGAGAGGGCCACTGACGTGAGAAGTTGAAGGAATAAAGATTTAACTAGGTTTCAAACTTTGAGAAGCGACAACGGTCAAAAGTTGCAGGCCTGAAGTTTGAATTGGAGAGGGCTTCCCAAAACTATCACATGTCATGAACTGTAGGTTAAAATAGAATTGGCTAAATGTGTAAGGACTTGTGTTGCAACTATGTAATAGTTTGTTAGAATTAGCCAGATAAAAGGAGACGGTACCGGATGCTGACGGTTATCGATGAAAAATGAATGAATTTACCGTTTCTGTTTTTCCCCAAATCTCATCTGCTTCTCAAATTAGGTCCGAACTACCTTCCGGTCGTGACAAATTGGTACCAGAGCCATCGTTCCTCGGTGGTTCTACCATGCCTGATGTTACTCTGATGAATACTCATCCGAATCCGGCACGACGTCTTCTGAACGGCGTCGATAGCTACGGTAATTCGCTTATGGAAAATCGCAATATTCAGCCGGTGTTATCAAGAAATCTTTGGCCGGAACCCACGGCGGAGATTGTGATGAACTCGGGGTCATTACGGCTGTGGAGTCACAGGAAATTGTGGTTTCTTTTGCCGAAGGTGATATGAGAGCTCCACGGGACTTTGGCGGGGAACAAGATGTCGTCTATTGGCTGGAATATTTCAATTCATTCTACTCGTGTTTTCCGATTGCGGAATCGGATAGATTCGGATGTGTGCAGCAGTCATTAGTCGGTGTTGCTCAAGATTGGTTTCAAACTTACGTGGCGGAGAACGAACAGTTGTCTAGGAGTGATTTTTCGGAGAAGCTCGTTCGTCGTTTGGCAGTACAAAATCAAAGGAGCATGAGCCGGTCAATGAAGTTCTTGATTTTGAATTTGGAAAAGATGTTCCAGCAACAAATGTATCACAAGAAAGAGGTAATTCCCGCTCTTCCAAGATTCGGTTGGAACTTTTAATTTTCAAGATGAAGAGTTTGCTTCTATGGAACGAAGAGATGAATATGAAAACGATGTTCTATTTGTTGACGAAATGATGCCTATCCATGATTATGATGTTGATTTTTTTTTTTTTCATATTTGCAGGATGTTTGCAGAATGTCCACCGTGGCAACATTGACTAATCCCTCTCGCTGAATTGTAGGCACCTTGATGGATGAGACAGCTGACCAAAGTATTTAAGGTTGGGCAAGGTTCGAATCTTCGACCTATGGTTAAGGGTGGAGGAGTCCCTTCCACTCCACCAGTTGATTATGATGTTGATTTACTGGACATTAAGGATGATAATGATGTGATGTTTGTTAACTCTGCTCGTTCAAGGAAACTGGATACCTCATTATATTTGTGTGAAGAAGTCATGAACCAAGTTGATGTTATTGTTTTTGCTCAGTATATGGTTGATGATTTCGTCAAATGGAATACTCCTAATGAAACTTTGATGATTGGAATTATGGAGACTTGTGTTGAAGAGGTTAGTAATTTGAAGAGAGTTAGCTCGGTGGTTTTAAACAATATAGATGTTGAGGTGGGAGGTAAGCTACTACAACCTGAGAATATTTCGTCTGTTGATGCTTTATGTGAAAATAGTAACGGTTGTTCACTGCTGTTGCTTGATAAACTGATTAGTTATGTCAGTTTGAAAGCCAAGGTTAACCCTCTGATTCGGGATGACATAAATGATGATGCTAATAATCCTGTTAATGAAGATGGGTGTGTTGAGAAAGTGAATCAGGGTTTGATGGGAATTGATATTGATTGGACTGCTTATGCTGAAGATAATATTGTCTCTAAAGAGAGCTTGAGAAATGAATTTCTTAGTCTTAAGGGAATAGTATGTTCTGATGATGGACAAGTTCTGTTTGAAAACTTAAATAAGAAATGTGTAATGTTTAGTGATACTTTTGACGACACTGGGAGCTTGAGTAAAGTAGATTATCCAATGAATTTGGAATTTATGGTTAAGGAACTTTCGTCCGTTGTGGTTGAACTCGGAAATGGAAGCGACGTTCAGTGTAATGCTTCTATGGGATTTGTCTCCACTGTACAAGTTAAGCCAAGTGTTTGGGTGTATGATCCTGGAATTGGAACAACCTATTTAGCTGCAGTGATGAAAGGAGTCAGGGGAGACAACTTTATAGAGATAGAAATCTCCTTTCACAGCTGGTTAGCTCATGATGGTGAGGAAGTTGATATAAAAACCTTTTGGTCCAAGAAACTTCGTGTGCAATGGCGTAAAATGAAGGTTTCCAGTGTTAGTGGCTTCATCTTCATCATTAAGAACGTGGAAATTCTACTCCAGGATGCTGAAGATCTCATGATTCTCAAAAAAGTTTATGAGGAGTCCCTGCAATGTAGTGATGATGAATATTTGGGATTAGGAGTTATGTGTTGGAAGATGAGATCATTGAAGTTAGGTCTAAATGATTCTGAGGTTTATTTTCAGTTTAGAATGCTCCCGTGCCAATGGAGAGTAGTCTTCCATTTCTCTCCAAACCTTGAACAAGGTTATTTTTAAGGGGAAGGGAGTGATTGTCAAGGTTTGTTTCCATGCTTGGAAGATAATGGAATATAAAGTTGAGGTGAGTGAAAGAAGCATCTCTCTACAGCTGGTCCTATAGGGATATTGGAGAAGTTGAAATGAACACCTTTCGGTCCAACAAATGTCAAGTGCATTGTGGTAAAATGATAGCTTCCAGTATTGGTGGCTTCATCTATTTGTTTGAGGCTGTGATTGAAGATGCAAGATGCTTTCAGGAAATAGAAACTCAAAAGGAGTTTTCTTTGGCTGTGAACTTAAAGGGTGAAAGTGCTGAAATTGTGGGTCTAATTTTCTAGGATATTGCTGTCATTTCTAAATGTGAGCTGTCTGTTGCTATGGGGTTTGATTTTTCCAAAGTGAAGCTGATTATCAAGCATGGCTTTGAATTCAGAATTTGCAATTCCTCTTTTGAAGTAGAAGACATGAAAAATGTGGCACTGTTGTATTACAGTACTCTTCTTGAACTGGAATTGTGCAAGATCAGGATGGATCTAGAGCCACTGAAGGTAGCTCTACGAAACTATGAAATCAATTTGGAGTTTCAACTGCATTATAGGCAATGGCTTGCATTTCTTTGCTTGTTTTCTTGCCTCGAGGGCAAGGCTTTCGGAAGGGGAAAAGTGTGGCTTTGCTGGCTTGGATTGAAACAGAAGCTTGGTAACATTAACATCACATCTGCAACTATTTTGGTGCATCATTTTCTTCATAAGACAGAAAGCCAACTTGATGTTCTTGACATGAGGTTACCTACAAAACGATGCACCTGTTTTTGGGTGGAAACTTCCAGAGAGTATACGGATTGCCTTACAAAATTCAAGTTTGTTTTTCAGCCTGCAATTGAAGATTTAGGGCTGCTTAATTGCCTTTTGGAATTGTTGGCAGTACTTCAACATTTGTGGAATTCTCTGATGGGATTGCTAGTTGTAGCTTCTTACAAACAGAATTTTCCCAAGAAATGCGAACAAGTTTCCATTAAAGAAATCTTAACTTCAGAAACAGCAAGCTGGTCTTTTGTCCTGGGAAAACAGAATGAGGCTATTACACCTTATCAAATGGCTTTGAGTGTAGATGATGCGAGTTCTCAGTGCACCAGTCTGGCATTCCATGACAAGGCTACTTGGATGGTAATTTCTGCATTACTGAATCATGCAAATTTTTGCTCACTGGAAGGGAAAAGCTTAATGACTCACATCAAGGAAACTCATACAACATGGAATGAAGTTGTAACATCGTTATGCCTTGTTTACACAAAAACAAAAAAAAAAACTTTGCACTCTTCTTCATCTCGTTTAGAGTGCTACAACTACTCTCTTTCCAGTAGAATTTCCAGTTTATAGTTTTCCTTGTATAAGTCTTAGGGAGAGGGAGTTGTCATGAACTGTAGGGTTAAAATAGAATTGGCTAAATGTGTAAGGACTTGTTTTGCAATTATGTAATAGTTTGTTAGAATTAGCCAGATAAAAGGAGACGGTACCGGATGCTGATGGTATCGATGAAAAATGAATGAATTTACGGTTTCTGTTTTTCCCCAAATCTCATTTGCTTCTCAAATTAGGTCCGACTTACATTCCGGTCGTGACCCACCCCCACCTGAAGAACGGGAATGGGCAATGATCCAAATTTTTGTGGGCCAACTCTGTTTCCAGTATACCAACCAAGCGAGAAAAATCAAGAAAAATGGAATGGATGTCACAAATTTGATATGTCACCCCTCTAGCACCTTTTTTTTTTGATGGTTATTAATATGGAATTGATTATTCACTTTTTCCCATTCTCAACTTTACCCTTATAAAGAACTTGAGTTTGGATCTTCCGTCTAGCGTTTTTGTTCTATCTTTGTCCCACTCCCCTATTTGACGTCGTTTGGCTGGAGGAAAAAACAAACAACATCTTATTTCTTTTAGTGTATGGTCGTATGGTAGAATCAAACTAAGTTTCATAATTAGATTTACTATTACGTTGCCGTAATTGTTATTAAGGTCTTGGCATTTAATATACTAGATAAAATCTTATATAGAAATTATAAAGTATGGAACACGAAATGTTGTATTTCTTTATTACTCCTTCCGTCCCATAATTATTGTCCAGTTTTATTAAAATGAAAGATTTTATTTTTGGTCAAATTTAACTATATTTTACCTTAAACAACCGGATAAACTCCTACATAAGTAATTGTTTAACCACTAAGATTTCATAGATAATGTTTTTTACTAAGGACAAATGTGTAACTTGATCCATAAAAGTCAAATTGGACAATAATTTTAGGACAAAATTTTTTGGGCAAAGTGGACAATAATTATGGGACGGAGGGAGTAGTAAATTGGATTTGACAAGTATAATTTCATGTGAAAGAAAGACTTGTGTTGGTATTTGGCCAATCAGTAAAACACAAAATAAACAAAGTTGAGCAGCCTGGTGACTAGCTCCAACGATGATATTCATGATCAATTATCTTCTCAACATGAAAGCCACCATAACTATGCCATTTAGAGACCATTGTCTTTCCAAAAGTGTTCTTTCATTTGTCAGTTTGATGAAACATTAGAATGCACATTCATGTTTAGCAGCTTCTTTTTCTCTCTCTCTCTCTCTCTCTCTCTCTTTTTTGTTGGACCAAAATTAATTTGTGAAGGGTTCTGAGTTGATCTTCTCAACAATGGTTTTGTCATTGACACACTTGCTGGAATAGTTGAAGGTGATAGATGGATTATCCCCTACAATTGTGTTGATGAGGCAGGACCATTGCATAGATTCAGACGCTCAGTTTTTTCAGGATTGACTGAGGCTAGTTTAGTAGCCATGTTGTGATATTACATGATCATAGGCAAAGCCACTCAAAGGGAGTAAATAGTAAGCATACTTCTAGAAACCATCCTAACTTCTAAGAAAATATTAATAAGTAAATTTTGGATTTGTTTCATTGAGTTTGACCAAATGTATGGCTCTGTTTGTTTTATTTTATTTTTTATTTTTTCAGATTATTATATTATTAACTGTCCCATCCCAGAATACCTTTTTATATTTTCAATACACTTTTTTTACATTTTCAATACAAAAAATACCTAAAAACACACACTAAAAAAACGAAACAAACATATAGTGCTTGTTTGGACGTCAGCTTATATTTTATTTTGTCACTTAAAAGTGGAAAGTGTTTCGAGTTGAAAACTAAATGAGAAATGAAAATGTTGTTTGGACGTCATTTTGAGCAAGAAGTTATTTGGATGTTGGTTTTGAAAAAAATATTTTGCACTACATTTTGAAAATATCAAGTTCGAATCATCACTAAACAATAAAATACGTCATTTTTAATCACTTTAAAAAAGAACACTTCCAAAAACAATCACTCAACTACGGAATCTTGCCAAATATGTCACTCTAAGATTTTCCTTTGAGGATCGATCACTTAACAACGGAACTCTTCAAATATGGGCGCTACAAAATTTTTCAACTGGAACGAATACTAAACATCAAAAAGTACCGATTTGGTCACTGTAAAATTTATATTTCATGCACAAACACTACACAACACAATTTGCTGATTTGGTCACTGTAAAATTTATATTCAGGAACCAACACTAAACAACATAAAGTTCCGATTTGGTCACTGTAAAATAGAAATTTCAGAATTGGTTAATGTAATATGATAGTGCACATCTTGAAATATTAGTACCATTTTTTCCTTAACAATTAGTACCATTTTTTTTTAACAATTACTGCCATGTTTTTTTTTTTTTTTATATGAGCATATCTCGATTTGCAAATAAAACCAAATTTGCGAACAAAAAAAAATCATAAACACAAAAACAGAGATCACTTATCTCCATTAACAATAATTTTACAACACTTATATGAAATTAACTATTATTTGCGAACAAAAAAAAAATCATAAACACAAAAACAGAGATCACTTATCTCCATTAACAATAATTTTACAACACTTATATGAAATTAACTATTAACCACTATTTTATAACACTTACATCACATTAACCATCGTCCAATTTTACAGCACTTTATGCATTAAACTTAATCAGATAAAATCTCCACAATAACCACAAACTGCTGTTGTGGAACACATTTATCGTCCAGTTATCTTTTACACAGAACAACCAACACTAGCAGCAGAACCATGACATTCACAAAAACTCCAGCAATCACAACCATCAAGAGGCAATCCAGTTTTGGCCTGCACTTGCAACATTGGAGCTTCATTTTATTTCCAGTAATTCCTTCGCCCATTGATCCCATTTCGTCATTTCTTGATCCCAATTCAATTCCCATTCTAATCTGATCATTGCCACCATCAGATTCGCCGCCTATAAAAAACCTTCTTCGTGTTCCTTGGGAAGTCGAATTGGATTCGGTGTTGGTGTGATTGAACCACTTCAACCATCCATGGAGAGGGCATCTGTAGTACAGACGTCCCTGATTGTCAGCAGAACCAGACGGCAGAAGAGTAGCCTTCCTTCCACATTTCCTACAACTTATATTCTCCACAACCATTTTCCCAGTTGATATGTTTTGATTGTTAGAAGACATGCTGGACTTTGCTCTGTGACTGACGTAATTGGACGAAATTCGTTTCTGCTTGGCCGTTAGTAGGGCTGTGACTCACCGTTTAAGTGATGGGTTACCTGATTGGATGTAGATTTGTAGTATTAAGTTTTGGAGCAAGTGTTTGGGTCTGATGGTTGGGTTGGAAAACGCAAGGCAAAGGGAGAATTTCGATTAATCCTATCATTCGCCGGCGGATTCCCGGCGCATATCCGAATTTAAAAAATCGGGTTTGAGTTCCTAGTCTGGGTATCCTCAACACCCGGCGGCATCTGTGAATACTGAATGTGGCTTTTAATCAGGTTGCCGCCACTCGGTGGGGATGATGGCGACAGGAGCGCAGCGGATTTGGGATTGACGGCCGGGTTAGGGTTTTTCTGCGTGGAGGGATAAATTGGGTGGATTGATTTTGATTAGAGGAGCATATTTTTTACGGTAAAAAATGTTATATTTATCCCCCTCGTTCTCACGTGCCTGTCACGTGTTTCCCGCTTTTAGTGCGGGTCACTCGGTTGGTTGACCTCAATTGCCACAAGTTGGTCACGTGATGTGCTTGTGTAAGATGGTCAAAGGTCAAAAAAACTGAAACGACCAAAAGCGTGGCGGTACATTTAATGCGATGTTGTGAACATACCAGCTGTTTTGCAGGATGAACAATGGTCGCTTGGAAATGCACAATGTGAGCCTCGAAATGAACCATGTCAGTGTGGAAAATGCACAATGTCGAACAGCTACACTTATGTTTAATTTTAACTGCTTCTGGCAATATAACTGACCCTTAAACTACTCCACGTCGCTAACATGAAAAGACACATATGCAATTAACATGGACCAATCTGAATTCCATATTTATGTGCCTTTTAAATAAACAACCATCAAAATTTCTCCCTTTACATTAATATTTATGGACCAATATGAATTCCATATTTATGTGCCTTTTAATCTGAATTCCATATTAACATGCAACTGCTGCTGCACCCTTGCCTCCCCATAACCCGCCTCCCCAGAACCCATGATTGTCTTTTTATTTTCTGAATAAATTTGTTGGACTGTAAAACAGTATTTTTATTTTTGATGTTATTTTTTTTAAATATTTATCGTTGGACTGTAATGAATATTTATTACTTTTACTTATGTTAGTTTGAGTTTATTTATTATCTGCTGTTTTTTTCCCTCTGAATAACAAAAAGTGCAGGGCAACATGAACATCACAAGTTTACAGGATGTGCATTATTTGATACAAGATGAACATTACAGTTATTGAGATGAATATTGAACATCATAAGTTTCCTTTGTGTTGTGACTAACAGAAAATACATGCCAACCTGCACATCATGGCTTTACAGGATGAGCACCATCTATTACAGGAAGCACATCAAGTTTTGACAGTTGAACTTGCCATTTTGCAGTGAACTTTAGCCATAGGATAAACGTTACGGTTTCGCAGGATGAGCATCCCCTGCATGGAGTGAACATTGTAGTAGAGATCGAATAATTTTTCCAATGATAGACATTTCAAGTACCTGGATAAACATTACAATTTTAGGATATGTCTTGTACGTTATTCAGTGCACAAATCAGATATTTATTGAATTTTTATTTTGAGTTACTTATGTTAGTTTGAGTTTATTTATTATCTGCTGTTTTTTCCCTCTGAATAACAAAAAGTGCAGGGCAACAGGAACATCACAAGTTTACAGGATGTGCATTATTTGATACAAGATGAACATTACAGTTACTGAGATGAATATTGAACATCATAAGGTTTCTTTGTGCTGTGACTAGTAGAAAATGCAGACCAATTTGCACATCATGGCTTTACAGGATGAGCACCAACTATTACAGGAAGCACATCAAGTTTCGACAGTTGAACTTGCTGTTTTGCAGTGAACTTTAGCCATGGAAAAGACACCAATCCACGACTCTAGATTCTGCGGAGTATACAAAAAAATACCGTGGTCAACGAAACTTTCAGCCAAGACATTCCATAGGTATACTCAGCAGTACGGCACACTAGGCCGATTCATACAAGAAGGGAGATAAAAGGCAAATCCTGTTTACACGCAATGAACATGACATCAGATCCGTAGGTACTTACCCTTTGGACAGGTTTCCTGCGCAATAGCCTTGACCCCGTAATTATCTTAATCGAGTATTGACATATTCAAATCGGGTGGAGGGCAGCCTGCATTCGTCTTCTGTGTAACACAGGAGCGATTAGAACACCAGATCTGAATAGAAGAGTAGCTTGTTGACCGGTGCTTCAACAGAGGGGGATAATGACCAATGAAAAACAAAATCCCAGATCCGAGAATTAAGAGTAAGGGGAATGGAAAAACCTTCGATGAAAGAGGCCGATTCAGCACTGGACAAACTCGTGTTTTGACTTGATGCGGGAGATCTGGACATGAAAGGAAGGGAATAATGAGATGGAGAAAATGAGAAATGTGGCAACTTTAAAGAGAAACTGAAATAAATACCTTGTTATATTTGGTCACTGAACTATTTTTAGTTCTAAAATGGTCATTACACTAATAAAAAGTGTTTCAAGTTGGAATTTAAAATGTAAATCAGACCGTTGTTTGGATGATGTTTTCTTTTCTCTTGGGTTTTGTGTTTATGAGGTAAAATGAGACAAAATAGTTTTTCACGAACGGGCAAGTTTTTTTGAGATGACCTAACGCATTACTTTTTCACTATATAAGAAATTCTCAATTCATTGGCAAGAAAACTACATGCCACCTTTTCTCTGATCACTGTTTCCTTCTCATTTAGCCAAATTTGTTCCGGTGGTAGAGAGGCACCATTCATATGTTTTTGTTTCCAAAAGCACCACTTTTATTTTGTATATATCTTTGTAAAAAAGCACATCCTTTGCTTCCATGTTTAATCACTTTTGTTCATGTTCTTGTCAAAAAGGAAAAAGAAATCCCATCCTTAGTAATTGGCACAATTAAAATATTTTTTCGTAATAAACTTTTTTCTCTCTACATCCTCTCTCGGTGCACGTTAACACCCACTGTGTTAACGTACGCCAACCATGGCGAAGGGGAAGCAGAAAGCAAAGAGAAGCACGTTGAATACTGTGATTGAAAGAGGAGAGGAAGAGAAGGCAATCTCACCGAAGGAATTGGATAATACTTGCGAAACACGACCCAATCTGGAAAAGGGGGAAAGCTCGAGACAACCATCGGAGGAAGGGGAAATGGTGAAATTAAGAGGAATCAAAGGAGGGATCGATAATCAGAGTCTGGAAAAACAAACAAAGACGTTGAGTGAATTGCTTGGGGTCAATACTGCGAGGAAACTGGATTGGTCTGATTTAACCACAAAGACAAACTCTACTGCTAGTATATGGGAGAATTTTGATGCTAAAAGGTTTAAAAGTGCCGCGGTTCCTTTGGATTATTACGAGCTAGAGGATAAGGATGGGAAGAAAATTGCCAAGGTTCAGGAGAAGGATTTGATGCCAGAGATCGATTACTGGAAATCGTCTGTCCTGAGCTTCGTCCTGGGAGCAAGTCTACCTTTTAAAGTGATGGATGCATTTTATAGAAGACTGTGGAAGCATATTGGCGTTGATAAGGTACTAGTTTTACCCAATGGTTTGTATGTAATTCATTTTAAGACATTTGAAGTTGCTGGGGAAGCTGTGAAAGAACCTATAACATACTTAGGATCAAATCCAGTTATTATTAAACCATGGAATGTAGGTAAAGGAGTTAATCAGAAAGAAGTTAAACATGTGCCTGTATGGTTGTTGTTTCATGGCTTAGAACTAAAAGTATTGGAATCCGGCTACTTTAGGTAGAATTGCTAGATAGCTGTAATGCAACAAAGGATAAGGCTAATTTTACTAGGGTGTTGGTTGATGTAGAAATCCAGGATCACCCACCAATAATTGCTCATTTTGTGGATGAATCTGGGAAGCTTGTTGAACAGCCAGTTTATTATGAATGGAGACCTACATTCTGTTCGTACTGTAAAAACTATGGTCATGGTGGGGAGGGTTGTTGGAAGAAAGAAGTTGATGAGAGATGTATAGTGAAACAGAAAGAAGGGATGCAAAGGAAAGTCACTGTTAATCAGGAATGGAAGCATGTCAGTAAGCATAACAAACCAGTGAATACCACAGGAGATGTCCCTAAAGAGGAAGATATGATCCAAAAAGCAAAAGGTGATGTGATCCAAGGGTGCAAAGGCAAGGAAAAGGTGACAACTGCTAATCCAGGCTTTCGTATTCTGATGGAAGTGGATGAAGAGATGCAACTGATAGAAGGAGAGAAAGGGGATCAACAGCAGCTCAAATTGAATCAGAACCATGAAGAGGCTAGGGTGGATGCTCCGTATGATCCAGGTAATCATGAATAGTCTCTTGCATTAGAACATTAGGGGCCTAAATAGCCCTAATAAACAAAGGGAGTTAAGTAGAATATGTAGACTATATAATACTGATATGGTGGTAGTAGTAGAAACAAAAATGACGCAACATGCTTTTGATGAAATGGTGAAAAGAACGTAGCCTGGGTATGGATATGAGGTAAATTCTCAAGCTAAAAACAAAGGGAGATAAGGCATAATCTGGAAGGAAAGTATATTAAGGGTGAGAGCTATCTAAAAGGGGACACAATATATGCATTTTTATGTTGAAGAAGTACAAGGTGATAGTGGCTTTTACTATACAACATTGTATAGGTCTAATCAGGGTATTGAGAGGGATGAACTGTGGAAACTCTTGATCAATTTATTTGGGACAATTGATAGAAGCTGGGTACTGATAGGGGATTTTAACAATGTGATGAGTAGAGAGAAAAGGTTGGGGGGACAGGGTGTGAGTTCAAATGAGATACAAGGTATAAGGAGATGTATAGAGAAGTGTGAGCTGCAAGACATAAAGCTGCAGGGTTGTAGATTTACTTGGACCAACAAACAAGTTGGAAATGGAAGGATTTGGTTTAATAAATGAGCATTGGATGTTGCAGTTCCCATACGCACTGAGTACGGTATTGGCAGCTGGAATTTCAGATCATTCTCCTATTCTAGTCCAACTAGATAGTGGAAAGGTAAGGAAACCAGTTCCGTTTAAATTTTTTAACATGTGGTGCCTTGATGAAGATTTTCTCAGAATTGTTGAAAAGGGATGGAAACAGGAAGGCCAAGGAGCAAAAATGTACCAGGTGGTGAGGAAACTCAAGAGACTCAAGACTGATTTAAAGCAACTGAATCGAACAAAGTTTGCTGATATCCAACTAAAAGTGGATCAACTCAGAGAACGATTGTTGCAATTGCAAGAGAAACTGAGTAGTAGGCCACAGGATGAAGAGTTACAGGAGAAGGAGAAGGAGGCGTACCAGGAATTCATACAAGTTCCTATTCCAGAAAGCAAAGGAACAATGGATCAAGCAGGGTGACTCCAACTTTGCCTATTTCCATGCTAAGTTGAGAGTCAGAACAACCAGGAATTGGATTAACTCCATAATAGCAGAGGATGGCAGTATAGAATGTGATTGGGATAAGGTAAGGCAGCATTTCATTGACTTCTTCCAACAACAATTAGGGCAAAGTAATCAGAGACATGAAGCAGAAGGGAAAATATTTCTGAAAGGAGCAACTTTAACTTGGGTCAAACAACTCAGTTGCTTAAAAGATGTGACAGAGAAGGAGATTAAAAGCATATGGGGAATTCATAGTCCAAAAAGCCCGGGACCAGATGGATATGGAAGTGGTTTCTACAGGGGGGCATGGTGTATCATTAAAAATGATGTTGTGGCAGCAATCAAAGAATTTTTTGTGAATGGCAGGCTTCTGAAGCAGATCAACTCCACCATGCTGTCACTCATTCCAAAGGTAGAGAACCCGCAGAATGCAGCAGAATACAGGCTGATCGCTTGCTGTAACGTCATCTATAAATGTATTTCGAAGTTACTGAGTGAGAGACTAAAAGAGGTTTTGCCTGACCTGATAGATGACAACCAAAGTGCCTTTGTTAACAAAAGATTGATTCTACATAATATTTTACTAACTCAGGAATTGGTAAGGAAGTATGGATGTAAAAATATAAGTGGGAGATGCATGATGAAGATCGACATTCGGAAGGAGTATGATTCGGTTGAGTGGAGCTTTGTAGCAAAAATGCTGGATGGATATGGCTTTCCTAATTCATTTGCAGAAAAAGTGATGGAATGCATTACTAGTACATCTTACTCAGTTAACATAAATGGGCATAGCTGTGGCTACTTTCAGGGGAGATGGGGATTACGACAAGGTGACCCCATTTCACCACTGACTTTTGTGATGATAATGGATTACCTTACTCAACTGTTGAAGGATGCAGCTGAGGATGCTAAGTTCAAATATCACCCCCAGTGTAAGACTCTAAAAATCACTAACATCTGCTTTGCAGATGATCTGATGATCTTCTGCAAATCAGATGAGTTCACTGTCAGGAAAATCTGTGATGTGTTAAGGAAATTCTCTGAGTGCACAGGGCTGGTAGCCAATCATGCTAAGTCAGAGGTGTTTTTTGGAGGTGTCTCAGAAGATTTAAAGCAGAGAATCTGCCAAATTACTGGGTTTAGGCCAGGGAGCTTCTCTATAAAGTATTAAGGACTTCTACTCTCACCAAGGAAATGGACACAAATGGAATGTGATGAATTGGTACAAAAAATAGCAGCAAAGATCAAGTGCTGGAGTTCCAGACACCTGAGTTATATTTCCAGACACCTGAGTTATATTTGCAGACTGCAACTGATAAACTCAATCTTGTTGGCTATTAAAAATTATTGGGCTCAGGTTTTTGTTCTCCCTCAGAGTGTGACAAACCAAATTAACAGGATTTGCAGAACCTTTCTCTGGGGAACAAAGGAGTCAAGAAAGGAATTTCACTTGTGGGTTGGGATCAGGTGTGCAGAACAAAAGCTGAAGGTGGTCTGAGTATTAGAGATGCAAGAACATGGAATGATGCTGCTTTGATGAAACAGGTATGGCAGATAACTATGAAGGAAGATGATTTGTGGGTGAAGTGGATACATGAAAGGTACATAAAAGGGAAGAATTCTGGACTCTGGAAGCAAAATAGGATATAAGTTGGCAATGGAGGAAGTTATTGGCCCTGAAAGATGTCATGAAAACTGAAATAGAAGGAGGGAAGTGGAAGCATACCAAGTCAGGTAAGTTCTCAATTTCATCATATTATCATTGGATGATGGGTGATGTTGGTAAAATGCCTGCTGCTCCAATGATCTGGTTTAGTTTGAATGTTCCCAGGCATAGTTTCATTGCCTGGCTGTTCTGGAAAGGTAGATTGTTAACCCGGGAGAGATTGGTAGCTATGCAGTTACTGAATGGCTCAGCAGAATGTTGAATCTGTCAAGCTGAACCTGAAACGTCAACTCATTTATTCTTGAATGTAACTGGGCTAAGGAGCTGTTACTGGGTGTGGGGAGTTGGTTGGGAGCACATAGAATGTCTGTAAATCAAAGAGTTTGGAGACATAGAGTTCTAAATATATGGAAGAATTCAAAGCTGAGAAAACAGATGTGGTATGCTGCTATGGCTACTGTGGTGTACCATGTCTAGAAGGAACGAAATGGGCATATTTTTATTGGTAAATAGAGGCAGGTAGAGGATGTCGTTAAATATATCAAACATGTGTTAAGGTGGAGAGTAGAGCAAGGAATAGCTGGAAGGAACAGAGAACATGAAAAAACAATTTTGAACCAAATTTTTGGTTCACAGCTTTAGATTGAGTGTAAAGGGTTTGTGTAGGAAGGAGTCTGTATATAGGCTTTTTGGTTATAAATATGTCAAACTCAAAGTTTTGATCATTAATATATATTTACAGTTTTACCAAAAAAAATGGGCACAATTTTGTGATAATTAAGCAAATGATACACAAAGAATATGCGCCTATGCTTATTTACTCTCCCTTGGGTCAATACTTCAATGGTGAACCAAGAGGTCTACAACAAAAGGTACCAATTAAGGTACTGCTTGTAAAGTTGTAAATGCCAATGTGATACTTATTTGGCTCAAATTTCATAATAATGAAGTCCAAATCAGGGGAACACACCGTTGAACCTCCAGGACAACTTTGGGAGCATGATGTAGTATCTATTATAGCGTGTCCAGATGCTTCTAACCATCTCATGAGATCAGGTGGCTATGGAGAAAACCTATTTTAATAAGAAAAAAAATTAAGAAATACCTTATCTTTAAAGACTTCGATATTTAAAATAATGATATTATGTTTTACAGTCAGGCAAAGTTCTCCTGATCTGTATTAATCAATATTAAAGAAAGCTCTTACATGTCATTTGCTTAGGCAGCCAACTGATGTGAAGGCCAACAAAGTCGAATCCGTACTTGTTTCTAGCAATGGGTCTTCTGTCCTACTGCTTCTGAATCAAATCGTTTAAATCTCCTCATAGTAAAAACGTTCTATCCCCTCCCAGTTTTCAAAGAGGTGTCAAAGTTACAAAGAAATCCTGCATGAGCACCAAAGCAACGTTGATCTTAAAGAATTAGAGCAACGTTTCCCAAAGTAATGTGCATCACTAAACCAGACCAGTCATGTATTATATCTATAAAAATGATTTCATAATAAATGTTAATTGAGTGTTTTATACACATACCTGCATAAAATACTAACATGTATGAACAAATTTCAGTGAATTGCTGGTGCTTTGTAAAGATCTCTCATTTGTAGAATTGAATTTTTTTAAAAATGGTACAACTTAATTGGAGTATCATAACTTCTGAAAAATTTAAAACAAAAAATCATTGGTGCAATCAGTCCAAGAAAAATTAACAATGGAAAATTTTTAATGTGTTCTTGGGCTTTCGTAACATCTTGAATTAAACAATCTGGTGCTAGTATTTCAAATGGTCATTGCTCAAACTAAAATTGAACCTATTATCACATTCGCAATAATTAAAAACATATTCAAAGCTAGATCTTAGTTTGAGTGAAAACAGCTCCAATCCTTCATAGGGAGTGTATCTAACATCTCCATAGGGAGTGGATTAATTATCTTTCAGAAACCACGAATTATTTTATCAAATCCTCTTGTTGAGTACTCACAGTCTTGCATCTTTTCAACATGTAGAAAATAAACAAAAGACCTTACTAGTAAGGTGTGGCTTGTACAGATCCAAAAAATATCCATTCTTCCTCCCGTACATGCTCTACATTGGTTCATGTTAAACATTTCTTCCATTTCTACTCTTTGATTACCCACTTTAGGACTCAAAACTAACTGAGAAAACGTAAGAACTAAGAGAATAACAGGCACAATTAGGTAAGAGATATACAATTTACCAAGGCAGTCACATTGCAGTATTGACTGTAGGAGAAGGACGATTGATGTGCGCAAAGAAAAAATAACATTAATTGAAATCCTGAAACCTAATTTGTCTAAAGCTACAAAATAATTTACACGTATAATCATAGTAGAAACACCCATTGCGATGTACCTTACGGAGAAACAAAGACAGGAACGTCAACTCCGACATGTTTACATATGATGTATAGATTTATAATACATAAAATATAGTTCCAAATAAGATGAATGATCGATCTTAACAGTAGGATCATAATTCTGATAGCAATCGATATCAAAGCCACTAGATTAACGTGAGCTTCTAATAAACCTAATGAGTGAAAATAAATAGCCCAACATGATATGCTCCTAGGCTATGGAACTGGTCTAGGTCTCTATATTTCCTTTAAAATTCCACCATAAGCTTAATATTAAGGAGTTCATATTCAACCATTCAAAATTGGGTAAAGATATGCAATGTGCAAGGCATAACTTAATCTTTGTTTTCTTCAATATCATTCCAGTTTATTAAAGAGTTCACATTCAACCATTCTAAATTTGATAAAGATATGCAAGGTCTCAATTACCATAGGTAGGAGAAATCTTTAATAGTTGTAAACTCGTGTGGGTTTCCCATAACTACCACCCTAGGAATAGTTGAAATGAGTATACTTTTAAGGCACTATTTAAACTAACAATTCACACAATGTTTACAGCACATTGTCTGCCATATTAATCTAGTCCTTGAACAGTTGCGAGCGAATCATAATTGTTCAGATGGCTTGTGATAACACTAAAATAATACCCTTTTAGAAGGCATTTTCTACTCAGTTTTACTTAAAATTGGGTGTAAATTAGATAGAATTAGTTTACTTTTGGGTTGATTTTGCATTTCAGGGTGATCAGAGGGTCAATGTGGAATATCAGCATAAATTGGGACCAAATTGCACAAAATGGTATAAAAAAAGACCAAACTGGAAGCTGCTGGAAATCAAGAGCTGGAGGATCGATCAGAGCCGAAGCAAGTGGTGTAATCTTGGCTGAAGGATGAGGATTGATGGCAAATAATCCCAATTGGAAGAACTTTGCAG